ACATGTACCCAGGCCACTGACCACCATCTACTGGAGTCAACTGCCGTTTCATCTGAAGTGCACCCAGATGATATGGTTATCTGAGGACCTGAAAATAGGCTCGTTTAATTATGCAACATTTCTGGTTGGGTAAAAAAGCAGTTTATAAAGCTGAATGATAATTAAATTTAACCTAAATAAATCAAGTATTATTAGAATGATTAATTTTTGGGGCGCCTGGGTGGCTCAGTTGGTTAAGTGACTGCCTTCGGCTCAGGTCATGATCCTGGAGTCCCGGGATCGAGTCCCACATTGGGCTTCCTGCTCAGCGGGGAGTCTTCTTCTCCCTCTGACCCTCTTCCCTCTTGTGGTCTCTATCTCTCATTCTCTCTCTCTCAAATAAATAAATAAAATCTTTAAAAAAAAAGAATGATTAATTTTCTAGGTAGCCATAGCATTTTAAGGTCTGCAAAAAATAAAGCTACTCTTTAAATTTTAAATGCTAGGTCCAACATATCTGGTCTCATATTAAAATGATCAAGGCTAATGTTAAACTAGGTGTGCAGAGCCACTGCTTAAGTCATATTTGAGAGAGACATTCGCATTATTGATAATAATAACAAAAATGTTAAAATCAGATAATTACATAGAACAAAGAGGAAACACTATCTTTTCTCTGGGGTGTGTGTGGTTTGCCAGGGCAGCGGGGGGGGGCAAGTACCTGAGGCTAAGCAAGAAGGCAAAACTTACTAAGCACCCACTAAGTGCCATGTATTTTACATATATTACCTTCCGGTGAGGTAGGTATAATTATCATCCCCAATATACAGATGGTGTAACTAAGACCTAGGAGACGGTATAGCTTGCCCAAGGGGATGAAGCTGGGATTCAGACTCAGGTCTGCCTGGATCCCAAAGCCCTCTTTCTTTTCACTACATGCCAGATCAAAAGACTGAAGGGAAGAAGAGCCTGAATTGGCCCACGAGGCAGCTGGGAAGGAATGGGCAATGGGAGAAAATGCTGGAGCTATGGGAACCAGAAGGAGGCACACCAGCTAACTCCATTTTCGTTAATGCCCAGTATTCCCCCATCTTCCATTATAGGAAGTCAGCTTCTCATCTGGAGTCTCCCAGTGTGAGTTGAAGAGCCTCAGAGAGAACTCATCCCAGAGAAGGGGGAAGTAGCACAGTGCATTTGCCTGAGCTCCAAAGCCTTGGAGTCCAAGAAAGGTGAGCATTCTGAGTGGTCTGAATCATCCCACCCCAACCTTTTTCCTTCCCTCTCTCCTTCCATACGCACCAGACTTGCAATGAGGTCTAAAGGCCCTCCCTGGCTTCTTCTGCTCTCTCTCCCAATAAATCTCTTGTACATCTAGTCTTGCCTTGGTGTTAGCTTCATGCGGAACCTAAACTGACACAAAGGCATTGTCCCAGCACCTTCTGCCATGTTACAGGCCATTAGGTAGCTCTAGCATATTGAGAGAAAGGAGCTTTGAGGGCCTGATGGTTGTAGGCTTGTTTTTAAACATATGTGAGTCAACCTTCATCCTAGGAGCAACAGGACACACCTGGGGGTGCTTTGCAGAAGGACGAGTTACCAGATAAGCAGGTGGGACAAGATCCCATGAAGCTTGGGCTGTGGCTCTTTATGTGACCCCACTGGTGGCCATAGGCTGGTGAGATGATGAGGAAAACTAAGATTATAAATACACGATACAAATATCATACTGAACTGATAATAACTGCTCTCATAAGGCAGAGGAACCCCATGTTTAGTTTCTATAGCAAGAATATTATAATTGTGTTATGTTTGTAAATTAGGTAACATAGAAGCCAAAATTTACTGCTTGCTAAATGCCAGGCACTATACGAAGCTCTTTATTTGATAACCAATATCCATTACTCCCTTCTTCTATGCTAATAGAACCCTGCTTTTGTTTGAGACAACAATGAACCAGCCCCAGGTAGTGGCTTCTGTCACGCAATCATGACATTCCTGTTCTCCATGGTCCTAGCTGCTTCTGCACTAAGAGGTGTCCACACAATGCAGTTCTGTCCAGGAGACCTAAGCAGAAGTCTGTTGAGGTGGGAACAGAAGACTGAGTTATGAAAATGCTTCTCCTAGAAGACTGACTACAGGTCACCCTCTTCAGGTCTTTGCTCAAATGTCGCCTTCCTGGTAACACCTACCCTGAACACTCTGTCTAAAATTGTAGAGCCAGGCACAGTGTAGGCACTCAAAACATTTTTTTTTCCTTTGGGGGAATACATGAAGACAAAATAGGGAAAGTTACTGGACAAAGTGCAGAATAGCAAACACAAATGTCCTGGGACAGGAATATGCCTGGTATGTTTGGTGAATTGTAAGAGGCTGACATGACTGGGGTAGCGTGATGTGGGGGAGGAGAGAGAGATGAAACCAGACTGACAATGACAGCCTGATCACATGAGGGGGGCTTGCAGGTCCCAGTAAAGCTTTTGGCTCATACTCTGAGTGAGATGGGAAGCCAAGGAGGAGCTCTAAGAAGAAGGATAGCCTCTGCCTTCCATTTACAAGCATTGTCTGGGGGCACCTGGGTGGTTCAGTTGGTTGAGCGTGGGATTCTGGATTTCAGTTCAGGTCATGATCTTAGGGTTGTGAGATTGAGCCCTGCGTCAGGCTCTGCGCTCAGCGTGGAGTCTGCTTGAGATTCTTCCTCTCCCTCTGCCCCTCCCCCTGTCTCTAAATAAAATATTTAAAAAAATATAAAAGTACTGTCTGGCTGCTGCTGAGAGAGAGACTGAAGGGGGCCAGGCGGAAGCCCAGAGAACAATTAGGAGGCTACTGCAAAAGTCCAAGCTGGTGATGGTGGTAGCTTGGACCAAGGCGGTAGCAGTGAGGAAGGAGAGAAGTGATCAGGTTCTGTATGTATTTTGAAGCTGTAGTCAACAGGATTTGCTCACAGAGAGGGTATGGATTGTGAAAGAAAGAGAAAAATGATGGATCACATCAGGTTTTTGCCTGAGCAACTAACTGAAAGCAAGGTGATTGGGAGGACTGCAGTGAGAATGGGTTTGGAGGGAAATCCAGGCACTCAGTTTTGGATATGTTTAAATTTGAGATGCCTACTATATATCCAAGTGGAGATATTAAGCAGTCAAATGGATGTACAGCTCTTGATGTTGTGGGAGAAGTTCATGCCAGGGATATATGTAGTATTTAAAGCTATGAGACTGGATGTATTTATATAAGCCATAAGTGTGGGGAAAGAGAGAGAGAAAGAAGGAGAGAAAGAAAGAAAAGAAAAGAATAGAAAAGAATGGGAAAGAAAGGATGGATGGAGGGAGGAAAGAATGAAAGAAGGAAGGAGAAAGAGAAAGAAAGAAAGAAAGAAAGAAAGAAAGAAAGAAAGAAAGAAAGAAAAGAAAGAATGGAAGGAAGGAGGGAGGGAAGGGAGGGAGGAAGGAAGGGAAAGAAGGAAAGGAAAGGAAAGAAAGGGAGGAAAGGAAAGGAAAGAAAGGAAGGAAGGACAGGAAGGAAGGAAAGTTTGTTCCAGTGCAAGGTTGAGTGCTGGGACAATCCAATAACGATGATACTAATATATGTGGGGTGCTGCCACCTTAGACGCAGGTGCTCATTTACCCCTTGTAAAATGTTGCATGGTAAATACTCTCAACTGATGGGGTAGTAGAGGAATCTATTTCACAGGATAAGTCATCTGTCCAAAGGCACACAGTTGGTTAAGTGCTACTATCTACCTGACTTTTGAGGTAAATAACTTTGAGTTTAATGTCCTCCAGCAACTTAACTTATAAACCTTGGCGTCATCCTTTGTCTTGCATTCCCCATCCAACCAGACTTTCATGTTTATTTTCACATTAAGCTTCAGTACAGCGTGTGTTAATCTCTTAACTTGAACCACTAGTACTGCCTCCTAATAGGATTTCCTGCCTTCGGACTCTCCCGACTCCAATCCATCCCTTATCTTCCTAAAAATAAAGCTGATTGTGTCACCTTCCTGCTTAGCCCTTCTATTAATTCCCCATTATCTGCCAACTCTAATCCAGCTTCTTTAGCTTGGCTTCCTGGAGCCTTCACAATCTGGCTCCAAGCTACTTTTCCAGTCTCATCTCCTGCTACTCTCCCAGTCACTTTCCTGTGACGTTGAACCTCTGGTTGAGACACACCAAGCTCTTTGGCAACTGTTTCACATGCTCTTTCCTTTCTGTGCCCACATTGGTTAACCCCCCCAGTACAACATTGACTAGAAGACATGTTGGGGGGCACTGTGTTGTTCCACATCTCAGAAGAAAGCTTTCAATTTTTCACCATTAAGTATGATGTTATTGTAGGATTGTTTTAGATACCCTACATCACAGGAAGGAATTCCCCTTCTTTTTGTAATTGATAAAATTTATTGTTGTTTTATCATGAACAGATGTCAAATTTTATCACTTTTTTTTTGCATCCATTTGGTATCATAAATTCTCTCCTTTAATCAGTCATTGATTTATTTTCTACAGTTAAGTTAACCTTGTATTCCCTGGGTAAACCCAACATGATCTTTATGTTATTATCCTTTCTATATACATATATTCCTGGATTCGATTTGCTACTACTATATTGAGCACATAGCACTATAATCTGTGCAGGGGCCCTGGGGGGCGGGGAGCACTGTTTGGAGGGGCAACCAAAAGCAACCTGGTAATTGGGAACAAAGTTTGATTTCCACTTCTCTCTGGGATTAGGGGCTCTAAATAGACATCAAGGACAGGGGGGTGAAGGGATTACTATAGGAAAATGAAAATTCTGTTATTGGTAACTTTCATATTCAGTATAAATTTCAGTACACATTCAATCCAAAAATCAAAACAGATCTTATTGTTATAAAACAATTTTTAATAGCAGTGACATAAAAGGCTACTATTTATAAGTAAACCCATTTAATGTTTAGTTTGCTAGTTCACCTTACATAAAAAATGATGAATAAAAAGAAAAGAAAGTCCTACAAAATCCCCAAAACACCCCTGCAGAAAGCTTTTCTACAAGTCCATGAATGACATTGTCTCTTTCATTTTGATGAAGCCAAGGTTGATGAGGATGTTCTTTTCCAGTTCTAAGTAACTCTCATAGTCCATTTTCAATTCAGCCTCCAAATGTTCCTTTGACTTCTGATACGTTTTCTAGGGGGAAAAGCCAAATCATCCCAATAAAGCACTGACAGCTAGAAATACCAAAGAAAGGAAGGGGCTGGTTTTGAGCAGTTGGCCTAGCCACTGCCCTCTGGGAGGGTTTCATGGGAGGGCAGAAGGCAGGAGGGGCAGGAGGGCATCTCTGGCACAGTGAGGGAGAGCGGCGGCTGGCTCTGAAGGGCAGTGGCAGAGAGAGTGGAGAAGAGTGTGCAGGTCTCTGTGGCTTAAGCCTCCTGCCAGATGTGAAGAGGCCAGATGTCCATCCTGGCCAGCAACCCTTTTCTATCAGTGGTCCCTTGAAGGTCTCCTCATGGAGTCTGGTTTTGCAGAACTGGGAAGTGGGGAATACATGGCTCTTTGACACCTCTTTCTCAAAAAAAAAACAAAAACAAAAACAAAAAAACCCTCTTCTAGTCTTCCTTTTTTCTCATGATTCTTGTCCCCCTTGTGTAGCCTGAAGTGTGGATAATTGCCTAGAGCTTACAGAATTCTTTTGAATTCCTCCCTTTACTAAGTCCTATTTAGACGGCACAGCAGCTTATGGGTCACACAGAAACTGCCACTTTTTCTAGCTTTGGGTCTCCGGCTGAAATTCCAGTTAGAAAAACTCCCATTTCATGTGCTGTTAGAGCTGTAATTACTATTATTTTTCAAGAAGTGAGCTGTACCCAGCCTCAGTGCTTGGGAAGAGATGGGTGTACGGTTTCCTTTGGATTTGTGGGTTGACATGTACAGCCTCATCTCTGGTAACGGCAGGGCACCTGTCAAGACCAGCCATGCTGGATGGATGTGTGATCTCCCCCTGCCTTCTGTAATCACAACAGTAGACGCTTCCTACCATTTTCTATGTGCTGCTTACTGGCTAAGTGCTGTAAATATTTTAACTCATTTAATCTCCGCTACAGTCCCCTGAGGTTGTTACAGCTGTTCCCATTTTCCCTTTTATCAGCGGTTGCTTGTTAGAATGTATTTCTCACTGACATTACTTGTTTTTCCTTGGTGACACCTTCCATGTTCTAAATGTAACAGAGGAGCCCATTTAAGTCCATTTGTTTATCTCCAATCTAGTTCCAGCGAAAATGGGAGAAGTAGTAGCTCTACTTTAAAGAGGGTACTATGTCGGGGCACCTAGGCGGCTCAGTCAGTTAGTTAAGCGTCTGCCTTCGGCTCAGGTCATGATCCCAGGGGTCCTGGTATCAAGCCCCGTGTGGGGCTCCCTCCTCAGCGGGGAGCCTGCTTCTCCCTATCCCCCTCCCCCTGCTCGAGCTCTCTCTCTCTCTCTCTAGTAAAAAAAAATAAAGAGGGTACTATATCACATGGAAATGAAGCTACAGGAAGAAGTTGGAGACATTTTGGAAACTCAAGCACATGATACAATTTCAGGATATGATTATTATAAAATTCAGGTGTTTTAAGAGTATTTCACATGCAAATTATTTTTGGATTTTCCACAGGTCTACTGGCTTCCAACTGATGTGGATGATTAGGCCTATCGCTGTGGTATTTAATCACTCACACTAATCATGGGTAATTGTGGGCATAAAGGAAGGGTGTCAGGTTATCTCACACCACAGAATTTCAACCAGTGTTTGTGAGTATGCAAAAGAATGGACCAAGACCCAATCTTTTGTAGCAGGGAAAATGATGAAAAGTTCATTGGTATTCTTTTATCCCTTGCCACCACTAAACAATGCTTTTGAAATGAGGCCTTCTGCTTTTATTACAGTGATACGTATCTATCAATAAGTGATAATGTTAACATTAAGAATTCCACATGCTCATGCTCTCACATGAATAATTGTGCTGGAGGAGGTTATATATTTGCCTATAAAGAATCTATAAATGGGATCAGTGGTGAAATTGCTGGTGACAAAAAGCCTAGGAAGGGAATGAGCAAGAGAGAAATAGAAACGGGGACTGAGGGGACCTCTGCTGAGAGAGAGAGAACTGAATTCACAGAATATCCAAAGGTCCCAATCCCAGTGGGCAAGGGAAGACGAACAGTAACAGAAGCTGGGAAACAGAAAGGTGAGGGCCCTCAGAGTTTTAGGTTCCTTTCTGGGAGAAAGATGTGCCCTCTACCAAATTCTCCTCTATCTCAAATTTTATAGTTCCCATATATTATATTATAGTAAAGTTCCTATCCATCTGTATACTGGTTCCCATTTACTAAAAGTCTATTTGTCGGGTTACTGAACTGAAAAGCCTAATCCTAAAAGGTAGTTATCAGTATTCCCATTTTATTTTATTTTTACTTATTTATTTTTAAAGATTTTATTTATTTATTTGACAGAGAGAGATACAGTGAGAGAGGGAACACAAGCAAGGGGAGTGGGAGAGGGAGAAGTAGGCTTCCCACTGAGCAGGGAGCCTGATGTGGGGCTCAATCCCAGAACCCTGGGATCATGACCTGATCTGAAGGCAGACACTTAATGACTAAGCCACCCAGGCGCCCCAGTATTCCCATTTTAAAGACAAGAACTGAAGCTCAGCAGTGACATAAGCCCTGCTCCAGATCTCGTAGCTAGTAGTGGTGGGTGGAGTTGGGATTTGAGCCCATGTGTCTTCATTCTATATTCCACTCTTTTTGGACTACCTGTTTTTCTTTAAACAAAAAATTTTTAAGTAATTTCTGCACCTAATGTGGAGTTCAAACTCACTTCTCTGAGATCAGGAGTCGGATGCTCTGTGGACTGAGTCAGCCAGGTGCCCCATGCACTACATGTTTTAAGGTATTATTCACTGGATGTTAAAATTCTATGCAATGAAAGATTCCAGATTTTGCATTGTTGTATCTATGAATGATATTCAGATGCCTTTGTATCTAAAGGACTTTGAAATTACGGAAAACTTTAGAAAGTTAAATTGGATAGAATCTAGATAGGTGTCCAATTGATAGTTGTCACTCATGGTAATCTTGGAAATGAGAGAAATACCCTTTTGACTGTCATGAGAAAGAGAGAAGAATGTGAAAAGGCATAATTTTCTTATTGAAACTGTGGAATAAGCCAAATATACATATTTCCACTGGGGTTAGAGGAAGGCAACGGCTTTTGTTTCTGAAATTTCACTTACAACTTTTGTCTTCTCAAGTTCCAGCTCCATTTCCTTCCTTTCTTGTTCACGAATTTTCTTCCGTTCCTCTACATATTCCAGATGCTTGACTTCTCTTTCGAAGTAGTAATTCATGCTTGATACCTGTTAGAAGCACAGGCCCATGAGAGGGGTGCCCACGTGGAAGCCCTCGTATTCTTCACAAGGCTCTAGAAGAATTCCTGCTGCTTGTAATTCATTAGCTGGCTTACCTGCTTTGGGATACCACCCACAGGCCCACTACCAGAGGAGCTAGCTCAACGTGGGGGCTACTGTGCTAAGGTTCAGGGTCCTGCAAATTGGAGGATTCCATGAAGGGAGTGGGGTTGGAGGAAGAGAACAGCAAAAAATTATAGTTTTGTAAAAGAAATACTCAGGGATGGCTTTTTTCCCTTTCCTTGCTTCTCACTTCTAAGCCTGAGGAAAGTATCATATCATCAACCAAACTTGGAAAACCCAGATGAGGAGCTCAATGTAAACCCTAAAGGGACAGAAAGGGAAGCTGAGTTCCCCGGAGGACTTGGTGTGTGCACAGAAGAACAGAAGCAGCGAAGTCAGCAGAAACCTTGGGCAAAGCAGCAGGGGATGGAAAGCTTTCTGCTTGCAGGTAAGTAGGCTGATGTTGGGACTTGTGGCGGATTGTAATCTATATATTTAATGTTGGTTGTATATGTATTTACTTATTTCTATTCATTGATTTTCTTTTTATCACCTTATTATTACTATTACTTAAAACTGGCGGGTGGTGCCTATGGAAGGGCAGAAAATTGCCTCCTCAGCCATGCTGCCTACAGTACACCAACTTGGGAGAAGATGGGGTGGAGGTGGGCAATGGAGAGATGTATCAAAATGTCAACTGGGCCTCTAGGAAGGGCATCACTGAAGGAGTCCCGTCCTTCAACAGTCTGAAAATAACATTTTATGAATCCCCAAATCAATTCTTTTCTGAATCTGGGCTTCATTTACTTGTCCTTTCTCTCATCACATTTGTTTTTCTGTGGTTTCAAGTTATTTAACTCATACAACAGAAATACATCCCTTATTTGGGATTGTGTGATTCTTTTGTTTTCTTACAGAGCAAAAATGCTGTCATTTCTGAACACACTTTTAAAACATGCCTCAGCAATATCTGGTCACATAAATTCTCAGAGCCAAAAGGTACTAACCTCATTGGTGGAAGGGTGACTTAATGTCCAAGGAATTTCCAATATATGCAGTGTTCCATAATAATCAGCTATGGCTATAAATTGCTGCTTAGCTGAAAGATCCAAAAAATGGGGGGGGGGGAAAACAGAAAGTCATCCTGGAGATTAAACATGAAATGTGTTTTTGTTTTTTGGTCTCCCAAAAGACCTGCTGTGGTTATGATAATCTTGGCATCTTCATCAGGCTTTCATGACCGAGGACAATATTAACTGATATATAAAAATCATTTTTTCCAGTTGATGAAATGAAAGTCAAGACCCGGAGCCTTTGTCAGCTACCCTGCCCACCTCAAATCTTGTCTTCTTGGTGCTCATGTAAGGAGTGTGGCTCCCAGCTGAGGTTGACCCTCTGTGTGGCTGGGCCACTGGACAGACTTGAGAAGAAAGTGAGGATAACACAGGGAAAGATTTTCAAAGAAAAATCATGAAGCCAGTTTTCACCAAAGACTCAGTAAGGGCTGAAGGATACCATTATCCAGATGAATTTCAAAGACACAGCCAGAACCCATTTTCTTATTATAAAAAGAGATTGCTTCTTTTGATCATTGAAAATGGATATAAAACACAAATGTGTTTAAGAATTTTAATTTTCTACCTTATCATATGGGGTTTCTTTTCTTATATTCAGAAGGTTTGGTTTAAATTGTTAAATCCTAGACTCATAATCCCTGGATGTATACAAAAGCAATGTTTTATAGCAAAGATGGGGAAAAAACCCACACTTGGTGACACGTAAGGCCAAGTGGTTGCCAGAATGTGACACTCTAGAAATTCTGAAGACTGAATTTCTAAACGTAATGTTTCTGAGAGAGAAAAGGATAGAAAGATAATTTTATGCCTGCATACCTTTGGAAACAAAGGGAAACTTCTTTTAAAAGAGGCAAATATACTGGGTTTATATAGAAAGTAGTGCTTAGGTAAAACAGAGAAATTGGGACAAAGGATATAAATTACTTTTCCGAGGACACATCCTTGAATTTCTGCTTGCTTTGTTATACATTGTTTTTTTCCTCATAATTAGTTCAAAAGTTAAAAGTTTAAATAGACAAATGACCCCAGAGAGTCATTTGATCTCATGAAAAGAATTGCTTGATATTGTCCAAGGAAAAGCCAGAAAAATGATAAAATATTGAAAATTTGTGATGTAATGAAAAATTAAAGATACAAGAATTACTCTATTTGGGAAAGAAGCAGCAAAAGGTACCAAAGATTTAGGGATCACACTGTCTGACCTGGAGAAGATAAGGATGCTTTTCATCGTGTGGTTAGTTCAAAATCAGCCTCTGCTTGTCATACTAACCATGCCTCAGAAATAATTGTTGATAAAACAATGAGAGAAACTCAGGTTGTATCCAGAGTTTGAGTGTAAGAAGGAAGGGGAAGGAAGGGAAGAGAAAGGATGGGATGGGCAAAACTTGAGAAAAAAATATCAGACTCTTTCCAGATGAATGTCAAAATGTTCCTGAGTTGCCCTCCAAAAAACAAAATAACTTAGGTCATTTAATTAGAATTAACACACCAGAGAAGGTCCAGGGTTTGATGTAGGTGATCATGGTTATGCAGATGTTTTGTGACAGGGCTGGCTCATGAGTTTTCTCCAGAAGGTCCCAGATGTCAACGTATCCATCTTCTCGGCCAATATAGAAAACTCCAGGCCTTGTCAGGGACCAGTGGCCTGCAGTATACCTTTTTGGTGCACAGGATGACTGAAGGAGGGGTCCAGTCTTTAAACAAAATTTTAAAAGCCCACATGAAAACTTTTGTTATTATCTGAGGTGTATTCACAATGATTTTCTTTAAGTACAACTCAGATGGCTATGATCATGGAACAGCACAATTATGCCCACTCTGAACTCTTAGTTCTTTTTCTTATAGGATTTTATATAATGCCAACTCTTTTATTTCCTGTGCATTTTTTATAACATTTTTTTCTTATTTTAGTTGCCTTTTAGAAAAGATCAAACCTTCCAGTCAAGCTGGAGATTGGTGGATGTTAGGTAAGTAAAGATTATAAGGAAATTTTGCTTATACCTTTATTTTGCTGTTGGGTGTCTATTTCCAATGGAGACAACTCTGGCAGCCAGGAAAAAAAGCCAATAAAAAGTCAATTCCAGCTGTGAGCTGCATCCAATGGCTTGCAAATATTGTTTGGAAGAGGATTTTAGACCAGCAAAGCACTGGTATAAGATCAGCTTCTCTTTTCTTTACCATGGGGTAATTTGCCCTCTTTGGGAGGTTTTCAGAGAGGAAAAAGATCAGATGTGCTCTCCTCTTACTGCCGCACTCCACCTGACAAGCAGGTGTATTCATTTATCTACTTATAGCTGCAGAGACTAAACTGTGAAGCTGTTTCCTACCCTCTGAGACATGCATAAGAAACTTCCCTGTGGGAAATGAAGAATATCTCAGATTCATGGACTCCTTATCCTGTTCTTGCCCACCTTGCCCAGCTCCTTCCATTTCTGTGGATAACCCGGTTCTTGGCCCCTGAATAGTCTATGGACAATCTTGCCTAATTTTCTTTTTCTTTAACAACAAAACTGATACTTATTCACTGTAAAAAAGAAAATTGGACATACTGAAGTACATTGGTATAAAGTAGAAGTCCTTTTGTGGATGGGCACTTTAAGTAGTTTCCAGTTGTTTCAATGACAAACTCGTACATAAATTCACACAAGTATTTGTGTAAGTTAGAGTCCCAGAAGTGAAAGTGTTAGGTCAAAGAATATATATATGTATATGTATATTTTTATCACTTTATTTAAAGAACATATATATTCTTTACTGAAGAATATATGTATATTTTTATTCATTTTATTCGAAGAATATCTATTCATATAAATGTTATATATATAAATATACACATTATATATCATTTTTTTCAAAGAATATATGTATTACAGCTATGAAATAGATATACATACATATTTCAGATTTTGATGATCTTAAATTGCACACTAAAGAGACTTGTCACGCTGATTTCCTCACACCTTTGCCTCACTGGATTTTATCAGTCTTTCCAGTTTTTGGCAGTTTAGCTTCTATTTGCCTGGAACCAGGCCCTCTCCTAATCCTGACTGCCAGAGTCCTGCTGCTGCTTCCCTGTGGTCCATGCATGTCTCTGGTCTCTTGGCAACAGACCCCTTAGCTTTCTTACTCCCACTTTCTGAACCTGTGGACATATTCCTGGTACAGAAGCAAAGTTGATAGACGCAGTGCTTCTCCTTGGACTTCATAGTAACCAGCATCCCATCATTTATTTTAAGGGGAGGAAAAAACATAAAATAAATCAACTGCCCACAATACATATTTTGAAGAAAGACTGTTAGGTCTTAGAGAGCAAAAGACGTAAATATTGTTTCCTTCCCTCAGGGAAGAAAGGCAAATGGTTGTGTTTTCAAAAGGCTTACGTGGTTCTGCTGACAAGCTGGAACCCAAGCCATCTGTTGTAATTTCTCTAAAAAGTGTCCCTAAGGCACTGTTATGTCAGAACAGTCTATTGTTCCCATTGTCTTTCTCAGTAACAAAGGACCACACACCCACTCCTCCATTTTTCAGGCAACTCACCATAACACCTTCTTTCCAGATGGCCACATTCCATCCCCCAATTGTGAGGATAATGTCCTTGTAAAAAGGTGACCTCTGAACAGTGTGGACAGATCCATCATGGATAGTGTAGAGGCTCACTGGCTTCTTTGCTGTTGGGATGGAAAGGCCACTTCATGTTTAATAATAGTGTTTATATTCCTGCATGAAGAATAGGCAGAACTCCAGTGGATGGACAGGTCATGATTAATGGGATCCAAGCACAGACAACAAGAGGTCAGTTGGGGTAAATGAATCTGTCAAGGAACAGCTCTTCCTCTTTTTATGTAAAGTCTAGGGAATTTCCATCAAGGCCATTTTTCCAGCTCAAAGGAATATTTCATGGTTTTTTTCATTTACTCATTCATTAACCCACTTGGTTGGCCAATAAATATTTGTGGATTGCCTATATGTATCTATAGGTACTACAGATGGCTGAGTAAACAATGGTTAATAAATGAACATGATCCCGCCCTCATGGAGCTTACAGTCTAATGGGAAAGACAGATATTCAATAAATAATATCCAATATCCAATAAACAAATCCCAAAGTATATAATAAAAAAAATGTTAAAAGTGTTATGGTGGAAAAAAATTGCAAGAAAGAGTAACGAGGCACATCCATAATTTAGACCGAATGGTCAGAAAAGTCTTCTCTGAAGATGAGTCATTTAGTCCTAAGTAGCACTTTGGTGTGGGAAGATTTTAATGTGGAGGAGTATTCCAGATAGAGGCAACAACGCACCCCCAAGTCCTGCAGAGAGAAATGCTTAGTGCCTTTATAAATTTGAGGAAGGCAGTAAGACTGAAGTCTGGTAATCCCAGCATGAGACATATGAAACAGATGGGGACCAGGAGGGTCCAGACCACACAGGGCCTTGTAGAAAAGGAGTTTAGATTATATTCTCCACATGATGTGTTTCACTGAGTCTTTTAGGACCAGAAGGCAATCTGACTGATTTCTAAAGATTCTCTGACTGCTGTGAAGAGAATGAATTAGAGAGAGGTAAAAGAAAAGAGGGGACACCATAGGAGGTAGTTCTGGTAAGAGAACTTGGTAGCTTGGTTGAAAGTACAATGGACAAAAGTAGATGAGCAAGAAATATTTGCAAGCTGGAAATGACAAGACTTACAGATGGCTTGAATAGGAGGGCTGAGAATGATAGGTTTCTGCTAGGAGCAGCTGACTCCATGGAGTTTCCATTTATTGCAACCGGAAAGACCAGGGGGAGGCAGATTTGGATATTAAAATCAAGAGTTCTCTGCTCCAGCCTACAGGTCCTCCTTTCCTTTAGGCTGTGTACCCCACCATTGCTTGGGTCTCCTCTCCCTGAGACCTGGATGCAGGGCTGGCTGCTCCCTACTCCTTGCTGCCCACACCCACCTCAAGAATGGCCATAAAGATATGTCCTATTTAGGCCAAACCATATTGTCCAGCTACCTTATATCCATACCATGAACTTACTGTGAATCCCATCATATTGATAGCTATGTAAAAGCTGGATATTTCCCCCCCTCAGAACCCCAATGGGACATTAAGCTGAAAAAAGAAAAAAAATCCACCTACTAAACCTTGCAAATAGCTCATAGAGTTTCAAAGAGATATTTGTCCACCCATATTCATAGCAGCATTATTTGGAAGCAACCCAAGTGTTTATCGATAGACGAGGGAATAAATAAAATACGATATATAGATGCAATGGCATATTATTCATCCTTTGAAAGGAAGGAAATTCAGACATATGTTACAACAAACTTGAGGATATGATGTTAAGGGAAAGAAGTCCATCACAAAAAGACAAATACTGTATGATTCCACTTATATGAGGTATCTACAGTAGTCACATTCAGAGAGATAGAAAGTAAATAGTGGTTGCCAGATGCTGAGAGTAGAGGGGAACAGGGAGCTAGTATTTAATGGGCGCAGAGTTTCAGTTTTGCAACATGGAAATAGTCCTGGAGATGGGTTGCATGACAATGTGAAAGTACTTAATAGTAAAGAATTATACACTTAAAAATGATTAAGATGGTACATTTCACATTTATGTATATTTTACCACAATTCAAAAAGTTTATAAAAAGTAAAAATAAACAAAAAATTTAAATGTAGCTTTCCTGGATTAAAAAAAAAGACCAATTTTCCTCCAACTGAAGCTCCATCTTGAAGATAGCATAGGAGACATACTTCTAAGGCAATCTTGAAGCAATCTGGAAGATTCCTGGGAAGTCAGGAAAGCCCTGGACACCAGCAGCTTTCTTCTTGTTGCCGCTCTTGTTTTTCAGAGCCTGGTTTTTAACCTCCTATAGTGGGGGTTCCCTAGACACCACCTCACTCTGGTGAGCAGGGCCATTCATGAGTCTGGAAGCCCTCTGCAGAATGTAATGATTACCAGTGATAGCAAGATTGATAACCACCAAGATTTATACTTTAAAATAACATGTTAGATGTTCTCAGCCCATAACTTTTCCTTCCTTTTGTCCTTTTAGGGACATTTAGTTCCATCTAGCAATGGATAGAGCTGTCCTTAAGTTATTAAATGGAGTACCAGAGGCCCCAGGCCAAGTTGCTATGAGAAAGTTACAATAAACAAAGAAGTAGTTTCCAGAATCATTATCTAATGCAGGATTCAGTATAGTGATGTGATTAAGAGTGCAGACTGCCTGGGTTCAAAATCTGGCAATTCTGGTACCTACCCCCTAGGGTTGCTATGAGGATTAAATGAGCTAATCCATGGAAAGTACTTGGAAGAATGCATGATGCATGGCATGTGCCGATTTGTGAGTAGAGTACATGAAATAATTATGACAATTGTCATCATTCAGCCTTCATTTCTTGGCTTGTCACTTAGATCATCTGGAAATTTTGTTTGATTTCCTTCTTTATCACATATATCTCATTCAGGATACTGCCTTTCAGACGCTTTTTCTTAGAAGAGGAAATTCTCCTTTCTGCCTTGTTGATAAGAACATGGGGTCCCTAGGAAATCAAGAAGGACTGCGTCCCAGTAATTGCCTCATCTTTACTCAGGTACACTCCATGGTTTTTACGAAAAACATTAGACTGGTTGCTCTCAAGGAAAACATTGCCAGTTTATGGATATAATTACGGCAAGCAGTGCACAGTTTAGAGGGTCTAAACATTGACTTTCTCTGAACTTCAGCCATTATCCAATGGGAATAAGTGTTGTTTGGCTTTCCATGTTACAAAATGCTTGACTAATGATTTTAAAGTATTTTAAAATATTATGATGATTTTAAAGTATCCTTTTGGTAAGTAGTTAAAGTTATTTCTCTCCTTTTTTTTTTTTTTGCAATGAACTAAATGCCAGGAAATTAAAAGCAACTCTTCTTCTTCTTTACCAACCTATATTCCATTGGTCACAAAATCCTGGCATGTTGACTGCTAAGCCTCTCTTATATTTCCTCTGCTGTACATCCCTGTTACCATGCCTATACTTAGTCCTCTCCATCTCTCATCTAGACTATTGCAAGTGATCATTCTACTTCCATTGTAAGTCCCACCAATAAATTAATCCAGCCCCTGATCTCCTGCCAGAGTGATATTTTGATTATACCAGTGGCACTAGGATAAGTTTCGAAGCTTAGTAGGCTCTCAAGGCTCTTAGCCATTTGGACCCAGCTGTCCTTCCTGACACCTCTCCTGCTGCCCTCTCTATTGCTATGCTTTGGCTAGGAGATCTCCATTTCTTAATTGTCCACTGCTCTTTTGGGCTTCCATGTTTTTGCATTTATTATTCCTTCTATCTGGCACATCTTTCTCCAATTGGAAAATTACAATCCACCCTTCAAGACCCAGCTCAAATGTATCTCTCTTCAGTAGGGCCCTTTCTTAATGACTCAAGAGAGTTTGTCCCTTCCTGGTTTCCCATGTCACTTTGTGTTTGCTTCGAGCCACAGCTCTAATGACAGTGTAATGTCATCATTTGTTTACGTGTTTGATTTTTCTAATAGATCATGGAACTCCTTTGGGGGAGGATAATATCTTGTTCATCTTCATATCCCCCAGTGCCTGGCACAAAATAGATTCTCAATAATGAATTGACGAATGAATGAAAGTAAGAAAGAAAGAACAAAGGGCGCCTGGGAGGCTCAGTCAGTTAAGTGCCTGACTCTTGATTTTGGCTCAGGTCATGATCTCAGGGTCTTGAGGTCAAGTCCCATGTTGGGCTCCATGCTAGGCATGGAGTCTGCTTAAGATTCTCTCTCTCCCTTTCCTTCTGCCTATCTCCGCCCCCTGCTCATGCTCTCTTGTTCTCTCTCTCTCAAAAAAAAAAAAAAAAAAAAAGAACAAACAACATTAGTGAGTTTCAAACACAAAGCTCTTGTTTTTTAAGTTTATTATCATTGGTTATTCTAGAAATGGAAAAAAATTTAAAATAAATAGCTAAACCTGTTTATCAGGGTCTGCCTCAAAAGCAGTTTAGGAAGCTGGCACCATGGTAAGGCCTCAAGAAACTCTGAGACCAGGAAGAACCAGTGTAACCAAGTCATGGCATCAGGGTCTCCACTGGTGTCCCAGCAGAACAGTGGAGACAGCCGCCGTGTGCATGCAGTACATGCACAATTAATACTCATGAATTATTGAATAAACAGGTACATGAATAAACATAAAAGTAGCTGAATGTAATTCATTATATCCAATATATAAATTTGAGTTCATCTTTTAAATCCTGGAATTTGAAATGAATGGAAAGTGGAAAATCAGTCTCACTTCTGCAAGCGCTTGACCTTTCCTTGGATCATATCTAATTCTCTCTCAATGCCCCACTCTTATCAATAACACACATTTTGGTTTCTGGTCAGAGGTTCTATGTCAGAAAACTAGGAGTGCTTCCGTTTCCAGATTAATATGGCTATCCTCGAGGCAATGCTGAGAAACACACCTTTCTGGGTCTAAGGCCGACTCCAGTCTGCAGAGCCAGACTCAGTAGATAGAAGGGGAGGGGGTGAAGTTCGAGGCAGAGACCTGAGACCCAGCAGCGGTCCCCTGCAGGCTGTATTTCTGACCTCTGACTCTGCTCAGTCACTCCCATGCCCGCTTGTTCTAAGATCAGATTCCCTTCTGCGAACCTAGTCAGCCTGCCCCACCTCACTGCTCCATGGTATGCTAGCAGTCCCAGCAGCTACGTCTTCCTGTGCTTCAGGTCATTCCACATTGCGAAATGTGGCTCAAATACATTTTCATGCCATAATCAAATCCAAAGCTTTAAAGTAAGCAGCTGTAATTGTAGTGAACCTCAGGGCTCCAAGCTTTGACAGGGAGCTTAGCTTATTAGGGAGCCGAACTCTTTGATTCCTGCTCCCAGCTGGGTGTGGTCCCCGTACCGCTGCTCAGCTGCCCGGAGTCTGCACACCGCTAGTCCCAGCCAGAGAGGAGGGTCCTGCAGCTACTTCTCCATTCTGTTCTACGTCGCCAAGATCATTGTAAATTTAATTTATAATTTCACATTAATATTTTTCATATAGATGAGTTACCAAGTTGTTGAATTATTGAAACACATGTTTGTTTTTTTTAATTTAATCGTCCAACTATCTTAGTCATTTAAGCATCAATATATCAGTACTCCTCAAATTTGAGGGAGGTGAAAACAAATCACCAGGCGAATCTTATTAAAAATCCATATTCCGAATCTTATTAAAAATCCATATTCCGATTCGCAGGCCTGGGGTAGGGTCCAAGGTTCTGCATTTCTAACAGGCTCCCAAGTGCTGCTCTTTGAGGCCCTCACTTTGAGTAGGTGCAGACACAGGACGTTAAGTGCCTTCCCTCCCCTCAGCAAGGCCAGGGTTACTCAGCACTTTGTAAAAAGGAATAACTTTGGGGTGCCTGGGTGGCTCAGTTGTTTACGTGTCTGTGGCTCAGGTCATGATCTCGGGGTCCTGGGATCAAGCCCCGTGTTGGGCTCCCTGCAGGCTCCCTGTGGGCTCCTCCCTGCTTGGCGGGGGAGTCTGCTTCTCTCTCTGCTCCTCCCCCCTGCTTGTTCTCCTCTCCCTCTCACTCTCTCTCTCAAATAGATAAAATCTTCTAAAAAAACAAAAGGAGTAACTTACTCATAACAGAGCAATCATCAAAACTTACTCATCAGTCGGCCAGTTTCAGGGTCTCTTTCCATTTTCCAATCTGTGTATATCACTCCACCTTCCTAAAAATATTACAGGTTTCTGATGAGTACAATGACAACTTAAGGGACTAAAGACCTCATATGCATGTACCAAGTCTGGCTGTAACCCAAACAAGCACAAAGCAACAGGTTAACTCAGTCAAATGATAACTTGATATAGTGTGGAGGAGGCTCAAAGTGATTACTTGATTTTATATTGAACAAAAAAATGAATTTGTTGAATTTTTATGTACACATAGTGACATGGAAAACACAGGCATTTATGGAGATAATCTATGTACTGGGTTTCTAAAGTTTTTGTTAGTAGGAAATTGTCCCAATGGACCAAAAACTCCAGGAAGGGATCTGGTTCTACTTCTTCAGTGATTTGTTCTCAGCATGATACAAAGTCAGTACTTAAAAATATTTGTGAAGTAAGAGAGAAAAGGGGAATGTAAATTGATAATATGGTAGCGTTACCTTTAAAGTTGAGAACAGGAAAAAAATTCCATTTAAATAACATAACTAATAATATATATTCCCACTTTCCTTATGGCCATTATAAGGAGAGGGGAAGGCAGGGGGACCTGGTGTAAAGGGGCAGAAAGCCACACACAGGGAAAAGATGCAGAACCCGTGAACAGCAGAGGTGGGAGAGGTTTAGAGGAAACCTTAGTCCCATGGCCCAACCAATAGAGGGAACACGGAGACTCAGAGAGGTTAAGTGACTTAATCAGGGTCACCCAGATGCAGGCTCCTAATTCCAGTGTTTTTCTCTCTGGGTGATAAAAGGAAAACACAGAGAAGGGTGTATAAAAAGAGGAGTTGAGAGGCCTGGGAGGATGGCTTGGGATGTGTAGGCGAGGGAGAGGACAGGGGAAAACATCTGGCCAGCGCCCACTCATTCCCTCATCTGTGCTTTTATTCATGAACACATGTAACAAACAAGGGCTGTGTTTGGTGTTGGAAATTCAGTCAGAGGACAAGCCTTCCCTCCACTCTCCACTTGTGGTGCCGAGGCCGAGAGAGCACAGACCGGCCCGCGTCCAGTGCACACACCTTCCCTGTTGGCTGTGGCACCTCACCCACCCTTATCATGAGTGAGCCCACGGTGTTTGCCACCGCTGTTAGGACCTTTCTGTATGTGACCCAGCCTCCACCAGAGTCCTGTAAGAGTCACTAATATCTCCTGAGTCTCACAGTGGATACGTGCAACACCAAACAGAACCAAGTCACAGGCGAGTAGCTTGAACCAGGTTCATCCACACGTGGCGAGTGCCCATTCTTTCTCTTGGCAGCCACCTAGCTGGGAACCTTCGCATCCTATTCCTCCATCCAGTTCCCGGGGCTGAGAATTCTGCTCCTCCTCCTCCCCTGTGTTGACATTCTTGGCCCCACTGCTCATGCCCTCTTCATCTCTGGGCTGGCCCCCTTGAAATCACTGCCTGGCTGGCCTGTCCGCCTTCCTGGCGACACTCCCTCCTGCTTCAGCCCTGCACTAGCCAGTCTAGAACCCGGGGAGGTCTCCCTTATTCTCTTTAACCAAAGGAACGGATCAGCCATGTCAGGTGTTGGTAGAAGAGCATTCCACTGGAATGTCAGCCCATGAGGGTAGGGAATTTTGTCTTTGTGTTCACTGCTCTATTCCCTGGGCCAAGAACAGTGCCTGGCATATAGTACATGCTCAATAAGTATCTGCAATATCTGCTGAATGATGGATTAAGTTAATTCTAAGGAGGGCAAGGGCTCGAAAGGCAGGAAAGAGTTGGGGTAGAAAAAGAAAGAGAAAAATCAAAGCAGCTGGAAGGAGAGAGGGAGATTGGTGTAGATGGGGTGGAGAGATAGGAAAGGGCCAAATTATGCAGAATCTTGTAGGTCACAGTGTGAAGAGTTTGGATTTTGTTCATGTTTGAGTTGTCACTGAAGAGTTTAGCCACAGGGTGTCATACTTTAATTTCCGTTTTAAGATCTTGTGTTCATTCATCTTTCTAAAGCTGTCAGCCCCTGCTTTATTAAAACTCTGGTGTGGGGGCTCCTGGGTGGCTTAGTCAGTTAAACATCTGCCTTCAGCTCAGGTCATGGTCTCAGGGTCCTGGGATCAAGCCCCGTGTCGGGGTCCCTTCTCCGCGGAGAGCCTGCTTCTCCCTCTCTCACACCCCCTGCTTGTGTTCCCTCTCTCGCTGTGTCTCTCTCTGTCAAAAAATAAATAAAAAATCTTTTAAAAAACCTCTGGTGTGCACAGAGACAAATATTATATGATTCTACTTACATGAGGTACCTAGAGTAGCCAAAGTCACAGAGACAGAAAGTAGAATGGTGGATGCCCTGGGCTGGGGGCAGGAGGGAATGGTGAGTTATTGTTTTATGGGTACAGAATTTCAGTTTGGAATGATGAAAATGTTCTGGAGATAGATGGCTGTGAGTGTTGCTCAACCATATGGATATATCTAATAATACTAAATTATACACTTCAAATTTGTTAAGATGGTAACTTGTTATTTATATTTTTCCAGAATTAAAAAAAATTAGAAGCCCAAGTTATAAAAAATTGAAAGCCCAAATTATAAAACAAGTATCTGTTTGGTAAGTGCCTCACTGCTCACCAAATGTAATTCAAATTCCCTAACATGGCAGAAAAGGCTCTTTGGTTGGATCCCAACCTAGCATTCAAGGTATAGCGTTCCCTCTTGCACAAATGATTCCACTATCTCCAGGCAAATCCCAAGCTTCCATAATTCCAAAAAGTATTGTTCAGGCTGTTACTTCTGCTGGGAATTGTACTCTGATCTTTCAGATGCCTCCTCAACCTCCAAAGTCCAGCCAGCTAACAGTCTGCCTTCCCCCACCTCCCCTGTCCTGTCCCCGTGGCTCCTAGATGGGCATTGGCATGGATAATGCCTTTAATGTTTCTGCTCCTTATCTAGGCAGTGAGTGCCCTGAGGACAGGGACTGTGCTGTTGATTCATGTCTGATCCAGGGCCTAGTGATGTGCCTGGTGGGCAGTATGCTCTTGAGAACCCTTTATTTCAGGGAAATAGAGTTATGAATGAAAAAGGCATCTCTTCTTGCCATTTGCAACGACGTGGATGGAACTGGAGGGTGTTATGCTGAGTGAAATAAGTCAATCAGAGAAAGACATGTATCATATGACCTCACTGATATGAGGAATTCTTAACCTCAGGAAATAAACTGAGGGTTGCTGGAGTGGTGGGGGGGTGGGAGGGATGGGGTGGCTGGGTGATAGACATTGGGTAGGGTATGTGCTATCGTGAGTGCTGTGAATTGTGCAAGACTGTTGAATCACAGATCTGTACTTCTGAAACAAATAATGCAACATATGTTAAGAAAAAAGAAGAAGATAGCAGGAGGGGAAGAATGAAGGGGAGTAAGTCAGAGGGGGAGATGAACCATGAGAGACGATGGACTCTGAAAAACAAACTGAGGGTTCTAGAGGGGAGGAGGGTGGGGGGATGGGTTAGCCTGGTGATGGGTATTAAAGAGGGCACATTCTGCGTGGAGCACTGGGCGTTATGCACAAACAATGAATCATGGAACACTACATCAAAAACTAATGATGTAATGTATGGTGATTAACATAACAATAAAAAAGAAAAAGGCATCTCTGTCTCTGTATGGCCATAGATAAAGTTTTGAGCCTCATTTCTTCATCTGCAAAGTGAAGATAAATCCCTACAAGACTATTAGGATTAAATGAGATATAATTTGGAACAAATACCTGGCACAGACCCTGCTATATAGAAAATGTCCAATAAATGTAAGCTCACTTTGGTTATTATAGTAGGTGCCAAAAAATGGCAGCCATTACCATTATTATATCCAGTTGTTACTTATCTTTTGAACTGAGTGAGTTTTGCTACTATATTTTGCTAGCTAACAAAGCAATATATTTTCTTAGTAGGGCTCTAATATTTAGCATGGTTTCTTCTATATGGTGTGGGTGTTCAATAAATATTCACAGGTTGATCAATAAATCATTAGCAAAGAGGATCATATACTGAATTTTATAGATTTTTTTCACATTCATCAGGAACATTTTAAATACGAATCTATGAAGCATCAACATTAAAAAATTCAATGCAAAGGAGTATATTAAAATATGGGAATGGTATAAATATTACAAACCTTCATAAAGCAAATGTACAGTAAATGTTGTAATGAAACAGAATAGAAAAGTGGTTGCCAGGGTGGGGGTGGGGGGCGGGAGAAATAGGAAGAGGCTGGTAAAAGGGTACAGACTTTCAGTTGTAAGATTAGTGAGTTTTGAGGATATAATGTAAAACATGGTGACTACAGTATAACACCATATTGTATAATTGAAATTTGCTAAGAGAATATGACTTAAATGTTATCACACACACACAGGCACAAAGATAAATATGTGAAGTGATGGATGTGTTAATTAATTAGATGGGGGAAACCTTTCACAATGTATACATACATGAAATCACCATGATAGACACTTTACATATCTTGCAATTTTATGTCAGTTATGTCTCAATGAGGCTGAAATTAAGAATATATATAATGAAGACTCTTTTCTATATATGTATATACATATGTAAAAGAGCAGATAATTCTAACTCACCTCTGTTCCCACAAAGAACTTTGTGCAGAAGTCTTCTATTGGCTTGAGATGATTGGCCAACCCAGCTTCCAGATTGTGGTATGGGTTCATCTCTCCTGCCTTCACTGCTTTGCTCTGGGCTAATATTTTGTCTTTCAGAGGAGTATGAATAGAAGAAGCACATATTTACAGTGAAAGACCTTTTAAAATATGGTTAGTTTATTTTTTCTGTCCCCCATTTCCTCCCCAGCGTGGTAGGAATAAGTATAAATATCTTTAGACTTCTAATTTAGCAGTAGAACACTTTTTTCCAAACCAAAGTATATGCAGGAACCCTTGCATGTAAAATTGATCAAAACCTGCATTGCTGTGATTAAAGTGTTTCCTGGTGGGAAGGGGAAGACCCCTCTACCTACTTTCAAGGGCTCTAAAAAGTTCCATGGCACACAGTTTAAAAACCAGTTCTACATTTTATCATTTCAGAATTATTTACAGTAAAAATTGAACATGAAATATATCCTCTGGATTACATTACTCTTGATATTCTCAATAAGACTCTCTAATTGGAAACTCGTGTCATTTTTATTCAGTTGGTATCATATGGACCTTTTTTTCAAATAATTCAAGATTAGCCCTTTAAGTGTCAAAAATGATCTAACTTCTAAAAAAATAAATCCATCTAAAATGTATTACTTGTTTTTCATAAGCACAGTACATGTATGGAACATAATTTAAGGTTTTCTTATTAGCTCATGTATATTACGTAAGAACACAGTGATTGTACTATATTACAGCTGTAACTATACATGCAAACAGAGCATAGTAAATCTGGGAGCTAAAATTCAAACACCATCTGGAAATTCTTTGTTTTTAAAAGTATCTGATGTCATCTTGTTTTAAAACAAAAGTCTTTTTATGAGCTAAAATTAGTAAATGTTATTTACTGAAGCTTTGGAAAATAGAGAAAAGCATGAGGAAAATAACAAAAATCATCCATTATCATATTTCTCAGTGATAACTACTATTAAAATATTTCCCTATAATTACATTTCTGTTATATATATATTCTATGAATATATAAAGATTTTCTTTTAATTGTGTCTTTTAGCTTTGTATCCTCCTTTTCTGTGCTCTTAAAGATATTATCTTGGGCATATTCCCAGATCACTTATTAGTTTTAAAAAAATGTGATATTAAATTTCTGGGAACCCTACTCACCACATTTCAATATATCACCATCTAAGTTATATCACCCATGGGAAAACAAACAAACAAACATAATAACCAACAAACAAACATATAAATGAAAACTAAAATAGAAAAAAACTGAGAAACAAACTGAGGGTTCTAGAGGGGAGGGGGTGGGGGGTTGGGTTAGCCTGTGATGGGTATTAAAGAGGGCACGTTCTGCGTGGAGCACTGGGTGTTATACGCAAACAATGAATCATGGAACACTACATCAAAAACTAATGATGTAATGTATGGTGATTAACATAATATAAAAAAATGTTGAAAAAAAGAAAAAACCTCAGGTCTACTAAAAATATACATTCCATCTAAAAAATATAGCATAATTATGGACAAAAGTAAAAAACAATTATGAGGGGCACCTGGATGGCTCAGTCAGTTAGGTGTCTGCCTGTGGCTCAGGTCATGATCCCAGGGTCCTGGGGTCAAGCCCCTCATCAGGCTCAGCGGGGAGCCTGATTCTCTCTCTCCCTCTGCTTGCCGCTCCCTGTGCTTTTGTCCTCTCTCTCTCTCTCTTTCTGTCAAATAGATACATGAAATCTTTAAAAAAAAACACCAATAAAACAATTATGACTTTGTTGGTACAATCAACCGGCATTTCCTTTATTAGAGATCTACATGTTTTGGGCCTGTAGATCCCTTCCCAATAAGTAAGACATCAAAAACCAGTATTGAAATAAGCCAAACATGAAACCAGACTTTTAAATAGCTGTATTACAAAGTGTCAATCAACATTTCAAGAAATAACTAGGTACCTTTAATCATAATGTTCTTTTTTTTTAAAAAAGATTTTATTTATTCATTTGAGAGAGAGCGAGACAGAGACAGAGAGAGCAGAAGCAGAGGGGAGAAGCAGAGGGAGAGGGAGAAACAGACTCCCAGGATATGGAGATCATGACCTGAGCCGAAGGCAAAGGCTTAACCATTGAGCCACCCAGGCGTCCCCACATTGTTCCTACTAAAAGATATTGTTTGTGTCAAATTCTTCACTCTCATTTCAATGTCTGTTTTTCTCTTTTTAAATAATATACATTAATATATTAGTATTAGTAGAGTATATCATATTAGTAGAGTAGAACATGCATATAATTTGTAGATAAATACATGCTCATTGGAAATATGTGCTTAAAAATGTTTCCTGAGGGGAGCAAGATGGAAGAGTTTGGAGCCCTCTGGTCTAACAAGGGGAGCCAAGAGCCTGATCCAGGGTGACGTCAGTACAGGTGATGCAAAGGAAGGGGCAAATGTGAGATGTGCTGTAAAGGAAGACCTAGTTATCCTAAGTGAGAGACTGGATGTAGGGACCTGAGGAGAGAGACAGGGATGACCCAAGTTCTGTTCTGGACACACTGAAGTTGAGGGAATAGATTGGGTTCGAACCCAGGAGATAGCGAGAGGCAAGGTGGAGGATTGTCAACAGGGTAAGAGTGGACCAAGTTACCAAAAGCGGTGAGTAAAGAGGAAAGCACATTGCTGAAGTTAGAGTCTTAGGTACATTTATGATGAGAAGGCAGCAGGGAGAGGAGACCGAGGAGGGAAACTGAAGAAGTATCAGGAAAACCACAAAAGCCAAGTCAGGAGCTCCGAGAAAAGGGGCTTAGTTGATAGAGTTTACTGTGGTGCAGTTAAAGAGAATGAGGCCAGAGAAAAATGTGATCATCTACTGTATTTACTCAGACTCGACTGGAATATCCTGCATATTTATTAAATTCAGCATCATCCTCATGGAATCCATCCATGGATTTCCATCACGAGGGAGGGCCTGGGATACTAACAGCAGCTAACATTTACTAAATGCTTACTACGTGACTACATGCCAGGTACTGAACGTGTGCTCCGCATGCACCATTTCACTCAATCCTCACAGTAACTCCTGAGGTGGTTAAGCACTAATTCTCCTTCAAGGATGACAAAGAGCTGTTAGAGCTATGTATTAACTCATTTTATCTTCACAGTACTCCATGAGGTAGTTACCTTCATTATTTACTTCCCTTATCTTCACCTCTCTCTTTTCAAACAGGTTTATTAAAAAAAGGAAGGCACAGAGAGTTATAGTAATTTGACCTGGTCAAATAATAAAATGGTGGCTTTAGCATTTAAACCCAAAACTCCAGAATCCACATCCTTAGCTACTATGCCACAGTGCTCAGAAGAATGTAACGGAGGCTCTGAAGGCAATTCCAAAATAGGAATTCCAAAAACATTTAGAGCAAAGTCTTCCTCAACAGAATAAACAAAAAGAACATCTGAAAGTGAGCGCTCAGAAGGGCACGGACTATTAGGGATCTAACATGGCAGGTGAGAGCCACGTGGCCTACAGCCACTAGGTGGCAACACAGCACCAGACAGGGGGAGAGAGGTCTTGAGAATGTGATGATGGAAGAGCGTGAACTAGGAATTCTTGGTGGAAGGTCGAAGGAGAACCAATATTGGGTCAATAAACAAAATGTGGTCAAGAAACATACGAGTATATTCTAGTCAATAGGTGCAACTCTGGCCAGAGTAGGTACATAGCTGGAAGTGTGTCCTACGGAGATTCAAAACACCATAATGAGATTTCAAATAAAGCTCTGAGAGTTGGCCATCTACACAAGAGGCAGGTCATGACTGCAGTAACTGCCTTTAGTGATAAGAGGCATGTGTTAGCAAGATCCATTGAGATTACCAAGCGAAATTTAATTTTCTCCAGGACTTGTGGGATTGCCTGCAACACAGACTTCTGAACACACGTAAAGGGACATAGCCAACCACAGTCTCAGCTGAGAATCTAAAAAATTATGTCCATTCCCTTTATGAACTGATTTAGCCAGTATACTTTCTCTAAGAAATATCCACAAAATGTCTTCATCTGGAAAGAGAGCATTCATTTGATGGGGAGTATTCCTGTTTGATGACATTTGGGTCATGCTTCAAGATTCATTTTAGATAGGTCCTTCCTTAAGTGGATACAGATATGTATCTATCACATCGGAAGGTAAGCTCCACAGAAGCAAGGAATTATCTTTTCACAGCTGTATCCTCAGAGCCTAGCACTTTGCAAGAGTTAATACATGTTTTGAATAAATGATGATATAAGTATAGAGATAACAGTTAAAAATTGTTCCTTAAAAAATTCAGGGATTACAATTATTAAATCACAACCAAGTGGAGTTTATCCCAGGAATCCAGGGCTAGTTTAACATTCAGATATTAATCAAAGTAATTCACCATATTAATAAGTTTAAAAAGGAAAAAAAAAGCATATGATCATCTCCAAAAATGCAAAAAGATCTTTTGACAAAATCCAACATTAATTGGTATATAGAAGGGAACTTCTTCAACCTGATAAAGAACTCTACAAAAACCCTACAGCCTAACATCATACTTAATGGAGAAAGACTAAATGCTTTCTCCCTAACATCTGGAATAAAACAAGAATGCTCTCTAACCACTTTGTATCCTGAGGTTTCTAGCTGTGTAATCAGGTAAGAAAAAAAATCATACAGATCAGAAAAGAAGTAACACTGTCCTTATTTACAGATGACATTATCATCTACATAGAGAACCCAAATGACATTATCATCTATATAGAGAACCCAAAGAAATCTACAAATAAGCCATTATAACCAATGTGATTTTAGGAAGATTGTAGGATATAAAATCAATACTCAAAAATCATTTGTATTTTTACACACTGGTAATGGACAATCAGAAATTAAAAATTTGGAAGTACCATTTACTAGAGCACCAAAAAATGTGAAAGAGTTAGAGACAAATCTGTCAAAAGAAGTGAAAGACCTGTACACTGGAAACTATAAAACATCACTGAGAAATTAATGACCTAAGTAGATGGGGAGATATACCTTACTAATGACTTGAAAGACTCTATATTGCAGACACCAAATTCTTGTAATACTGATCTTGTAATACTGATTTACCAATCAAAGTCAGAGCAGGCTTATGCAAGACAAAAGATAGAAAATTCACATGGGAAAACAAAAAACCTAGAATGGTCAAAAACTACTTTGAAAAAGTAAAAAGTTGAAGGACTAGCACTAATTTCAAGACTTTAGTACTACAGTACTAAAGCTACAGTAATCAAGACAGTGTGGTATTGGTGTAAAGACAGACACAGATCAACAGAACAAAACAGAGAGTTCAGAAATGGACTCTCACATATTTGGACAAGTGATTTTTGACAAAAGTGCAAAAACAATCCTGTGGAAAAAGAATAGTGTTTTCAACCATTGGTGCTAGAACATCACACACAAATGAACTCTGATTCATAATTTGTGCATAGAAAAAAATCATCTCAATGAAGATCATAAACTTAGTTATAAAACTCCTAGAAAAAAAAAACCCAACCTTCGGTTACATTCAAAACCAAAATCATGACCCATGAAAGAACAAACTGATAAACTAGACTTCCTCATAATTAAAAACTTCTGCTTTTCAAAAGACAGTGTTAGGAGAATGACACTTAATAATTTTTTAAAAGATTTTATTTATTTAGTTGACAGATGGAGAGAGAGCACAAGTGGGCAGAGGGAGAGGGAGAAGCAGGCTCCCTGCTCAGCAGGGAGCCCAACGCAGGGCTCAATCCCAGGACCCCAGGATCATGACCTGAGCCAAAGGCAGATGCTTAACCAACTGAGCCACCCAGGTGCCCTGACACTTAATAGTTTAACAGAGTGTAAATCACAGACTGGGAGAAAATATTTGCAAATCACTTATCTGATAAAGGACTAGTATGCAGAATATGTTAAGAGCTCTGAAAACTCAATAATAAAAAAACAAACAGCACAACTAAAAAATGGGTAAAAGATACAGACACTTCACCAAAAAAGATATATATATGAGTGGAAAAAAAATACATGCAAATATGCTCAACATCTTTAGTCATTAGGTAAATGTAAATGAGATATCGTTACACCCGGTTTAGAATAGTTCAGTTAAAAAGACTAGCCATACCATCTGTTCATGAGAATGTGGAAAAACTGGAACTCTCCTGCATGGCTTTTTGGAATGTAAAATGGTATAACCACTTTGTAAAACACTTTGGCAGTTTCTTAAAAAGTTAAACATACACCTGCCACATGATTTAATCATCCCGTTCCTAGGTATTTACCCAAGCAAATAAAAGCACATGTCCATACAAAGGCATGTATATGTACATGTACATATGTATATTTGTACATATATGTATATGTAATAGCCCTGTGTTGAAAACATTACATTTTACTGTATGTCAATTGTACCTCAATAAACTTGTTGAAAGTGAATAAGGAAAAAACACACTTTTAAAAGATATAGTGATATCCTTACTATCAACTGGATAAAAGCAGTAAGATCCTCATGATCATCTTTTTTTCATTAATTTAATAGGGCATTTAATGAGTTACCCCCCCTTTTTTTAAAGACTTTATTTATTTGAGAAAGAGAGCAGGAGCAGGGGGAGGGGGAGACACAGGTTCCCCGATGAGCAGGGAGCCCAACGTGGGGCTCAGTCCCAGGACTCTGAGCCAAAGGCAGTTGCTCAACCAACTGAACCACCCAGGCGCACATAACCTCTCTCAGTCTTGGTTTCCTTAATCATAAAATGGTAATGAAAATTCCCAGTTTGCAGGATTGTCATGACCATTAGCATCTGTTTTACACACCATTGCACCCTCAGGGCCTAGCATAAAATAAGCACTTTATAAATATCTGGTAAATGAATGAAAGCATGTGCAGTATTAATTAGCACAGTACCTAACTCATGGCCGAAATTCAATAAATTGCAGCTGATAGTTGACTACGAAGAAGTGGAGAAGAGAACTCACCTTCCATTCCTTCTGAAATGAAGCAGGCCCAAATACATTAAAAAAATGCAAAGTTTTAATAGTGCTTAGAAAAGGTCTATAAACAATTTTTTTTTTAGCATGAGGCCTTGGGTTGTATCTATGAAACACACAGCTTCAAAGTGAGTTTTGCCCAAGCAGGGTATTAGATACATATTATGTTTTTTACGAGATATTCTATCACTTAACTGAACATTCAACAATTTATAAATGGAAATCCATTTGACAAGGCAAATATTTGGAAAGTAGTTTCTAGTGATTCTTCTACATTTTCATTGTTCATTGCTCTCAGGTGGGATATTCATGAACACCTTTATTTTAATAGTTTTGACATTTGTATGTGTACCCTTCAATTACTTAAACAAAGGTGTAGGGGTTGAGTTGAGACAGATGTAAAAGGCAATTGTTATTTCTCTATTTTATCATGTTGCTGTACAAATATTAATTTTTCTATTATATTCTGACTGGGAATGGTAATTTATTTCTTCTACTTCATAACTTACTTTGTTAGACTCGAGATATGTTCCATTCTATAGAATTATTCTTTGAGCACATCCATATTTATTAGGACAGCTTCGTAAAATTTTTTTTAATGTACTGAGTTCTCAAAAATATACTCGATAAATGTTTATGAAACTAAACTAAACTGAATTCTGTCGTCAAATCTTTGTGTGTGTGTGTGTGTGTGTGTGTGTATAGGCAGTTTTAATGTGTTGGCTATAGTTTTGTGTGTATTTGTTTTTTGAGAAGGAGTGAGGGGGAGGGGGAGGGAGAGAATCTCAAGGAGACTCCATGCCCAGTGAGGATCCCAATGTGGAACTCTGTCTCACAACCCCGAGATCATGACCTGAGCCCAAATCAAGATATGGATACTTAACCTACTGAGCCACCCGGGCACCCTTATAGTTATTATAGCCATTATAAAGTTCCATATTGGAGGGTTTGGTTTTCTGTATCCTTTTTACAAATCAGACTATCTTAGCAAGTAACGCACCCTGGACGTTAGACATCAATACTCAAACTATTACATGCCATTTTAATAAGCAAAGGCAGTTACCTTGTGCTTTGTAAAGGAGATTGTCTTCACTCAAGCTGATCTTGGTTGGGCAGTGGTCTAAACTTGTTTCACCTTTAGACAGCCTTATCTTTTGGGAGAACATAGAAGAAAGATTATTTCCATATATCCTGTGGGTGAGTTATTCTTGCTTTCTCCTTCCACCCCCAGATGGCTCTTTCCCACCTCCCTCCCTCCCTTTGTCCCTTTTCCATTCTCCCTCAGATTCCTAGTTGCTTTTCCCCACAGACAGTGCCTGAACCACAGTTTCTGAAACCCTGCAACTCAGGGCACCTGGGTGGTTCAGTTGGTTAGGTGTCTGCCTTTGGCTTGGGTCATGATCCCGGGGTCCGGGGATCAAGCCCCGAGTCGGGGTCCGGGGATCAAGCCCCGAGTCAGGCTCCCTGCTTCTCCCTCTGCCCCTCCTCCCTGCTTGTGCATGCTCTCTCTCTCTTTCTGACAAATAAATAAATAAGATCTTTAAAGATAAAAAAGTAAATAAATAAAAATAAAACCCTGCGGTCAAAGGGAGCTTGTCCAAGGGCTCATTTCCAAATCCTGTTTAATTTCTGAAAATATTGTGTATTCTAGTTCATAATACAATCTTTTTGGTTTTAATATAAAATAATGGTTTATTCTCCTGGTTCCTACATCTTTCACTTAAATGAAGCTCCAGAAAGTTGTGTGGGGTCTTTTCATCTGCCAGGCACTGCTGAGTCACCTTGGAGACACACGTGCCCCTGAATTCCAGAAGTGGCCCTGGATCTGCACCAGAATGGGAAGCTGTCACTCTTTATACTTTCCCTCACAACTTCTGCCCCACATTTCTCCATCAGGACATTTGTCCACATGCTGACAATTATTCCCAGGTAAGTTTCTGATTGCTCACTTCTTTTTAAACAGTTTACAGCTTGGTAAATCCTACCCCAGGAAATTCCTCATCCTCTGTAGTTTCTGATTTCTAATTTCTAATCCCAGCTCCTTCCGGAATATTCTCACCCCTCTGTGTTCTCTCTTCCATTTGGAGCAAATACATAATAATATAATTCTAGTGATACTTATAAAATAAGGGACTAAATCTTAAGTTTGGAATTGGAACTAGACATTCCAAAAAAAAGAGGGTCATCAATGTCAGAAGCCCATTCATACTTTCCACACATATTCCATCCACAGCCATATCTTTCTTAAATTAAAATTGCTTTTCTTCAAAGCTCTGCCTTTCAAGAAAAGTAAAAATAATTTCTCTTTCAATTACTTTCAGTTTTGTTTGGTCATAGATATTAAAATACTGTTTCCTACTACATGAAAAATATGCAGCATTTTGCCTATATTAGAGATTAAAATTAGCTTTCCAGGCTAACCTGAGAGCCTACTGGTTTACAAGCAACTGCTTATGCAAATGCATAATTAATTATGCTAACCATCAGTAAGTTGGGGCATGCTTATACATGAACAAATATCAATCTTGAGTTCACAAAAATTGTGATTTCTGGCTTGACCTAGGCAGGCCTCATAATAATTCTCAATAAAAGAATTTATTGGTTAAATGAATACATAAATTATAAAGTCCTATGTTTATTTGAGCTGCTCTACTTCTAGAGTGTGTGTATATATATGTATATGCAAATATATTATAAGTGTATATGCAAGCAAATAGAATGGACTAAATTGCATGTTACTTACCTTAGTGAGAGGTTTCCAGGAGAGATCGAGATGCAAAAAAGTAGATGGTACATCCAAAGGAATTTCAATATGTTCTTCTTTCTTTTTCTCTATTAATTGTGGGGTTAAAGCTTTCTGTGGTCTGATATCCCAAAAACATATTGTGCTTTAAAAAAATTCACACTTTATTTAGTATAAGTAAGAGATGTAGCCTTAGAACTACCATACTTTATGCTGCTACACATAAGCAATGTGATCATGGCTGTATTTTAATATCTCTGAAACTAAGATTTTTATGACATGGGATTGTTTTGCATTTTATATTTTAGAGAATTATACAGTTTATAGGGTTATTTGATGACTGCTGGTATTGACACTAATATTATCATATATGAGAACTGAGTTTGGAGATTGACACCATTTTTTTTAGCATCTTTTTAAGCATTTTTTCAACATTTTTTAGCACCATCTTTTTAACAACTTTATTAAGATATAACTCATATAGCACAAAATTCACCCACTGAAAGTACACAATTCAATGGTTTTTAATATAGTCACAGAGCTGTGCAACAATCACCACAATTAAGTTTAGAAGATTTTTATCACCCCAAAAAGAAACCTTGTACAGATTGGCGGTCACTCCTCACTGTCCCCCAGCCCATCCCACCAGCCCTAGACAATACTAATCTACTTCCTGTCTGTATAGTTTTGTCTATTCTGGACATTTCATATAAATGGAATCAGACAGTATGTGGCTTTTGGTGACTGGCTTCTTTCATTTAGCATATTTTCAGAGTTCATCTATGTGGTAGTATATATCAGTATATCATTTCTTTGTATTGCCAAATAATATTCTATTGTTCAGAATATACCACAGTCTATCCATTCATCAGTTGATGGCCTATTATGAATAATGCTGCTATGAACATTTGTGTATAAATTTTGTTTGGATGCATGGTTTCATTTCTCTTGGGTATACATTGAAGAGTGTAATTGCTGGGTTATATGGTAATTTCTGTGGTTGATCTTTTGAGGAACTGCTAGATTATTTTCCAGAGCAACTGTGTAATTTTTACATTCCCATCAGCAATGTGTGAGGATTCCAATTTCTCCACATCCTTGCCAACACTTGCTACTTTTTGTCTTTTTTATTATAGCCATGCTAGTGGGGGAGGTGGAGTCTCATCAAAATTGATTTAGATTTGCATTTGCTTGTGCTTTGGATGTAATATGTAGGAAATCACTATCTAATCCAAGGTCATGAACGTTTATGCTTTTATTTGCTTATGTTTTCTTCTAAAAGTTGCATAGTTTTAGATCTTGCATTTAGGTGTTTATTCCATTTTCAGTTAATTTTTTTATACAGTGTGAGGTAAAGGTCCAACTTCATTCTTTTGCTTGCATATATCCAGATGTCCCAGCACCATTTGTTGAAAAGACTAGTCTTTCTTCATTAAATTGTCTTTGTACCCTTGTTGAAAATTGGTCATCCATAGACATATGGGTTTATTTCTGAGCTCTATGATTTCTATGTCTATCCTCATGCCAGTGTCAGTACATCTGTCTCTAGCTGTAACTTTGTAGAAAGTTTAGAGATCAGGAAGTGTAAGTCCTCCAACTTTGTTCTTGTCAAGATTGTCGCTTTGGCTATTTTAGGTCTCATTGTGGTTTTGATTTGCATTTCCCTCATAGCTAATGTTGAACATCTTTTCATGTGCTTATTGGCCATTTGTATATTTTTTGGGGGAAAAGTCTGTTGATAATCTCTGCTCCTTTTTACATTGGGTTGTCTTTTTATTGTTGAGTTGTAAGAGTTTTATATATTCTGGATAGAAATTTTCAATCAGATATATGATTTGCAAATATTTTCTTCCATTCTGTGGACTGTCTTTTCAATTTTTTGATAGTGCCTTTTGAAACAAAAATTTTGCTGAATTTCAACTTTTTTCTTTTATTGCTTGTGTTTTTGGTGTCACATACAAGAGACATGATATATAACCACATATCATATATTATAAATATATAAATATATAATGCAAATATAATATATAATATAAACATATAATAAGTATAACATAAATATATGTATATTCATTGGGAAAACAATACATACATAGGCAATGTTGGATTTAATGTGCTTTGTACATAGTAAGCATCCCCAATAAAGGTTATTTCTCCTCTTATTTTTCCTTCCTTATAGCTTGATTATAAAAATCAAATGAGATAATGTATATGAAAATTCTTTATAAAGCTCTACACATCTATAGAGTATAATTTTAAGTGTAATAAACTTGGTAACACATTTATAATGATACTTATATAGTATCTTAGTATAAAAGTGACTTTGTATTAATTATGTGAAAACATATGATGAGGATGGCAAAGGACATGCTGTATTAGCTCTATTATTTCTATCACTGAGGTTATGAGTAACCTGATTAATAAACTTAAGATATTATTAAAGAATTTAGATGTGTAAGTTAAAGTATTTAGATAAACGGTTAGTAGCTCAAGTAAGACTAACAAAACTTTTATTCATTTATGTGACTTAATAAATATTAATCATTTATTCATCTTAATGAATTGTTGAAAGTATTAATAATTTTTATGTTGTCAAAATATAAATCCTTGAGAGAACACCACAAATGACACAAAAAGATCTGTTTTAAACTACAATTATAGTTGATTTAAAACTGTTTTACCAAATTAGAAAGATCTTGAATCTCATTTATAGCATTAATTTGCATTATTCATGAAATGATTTTGCTAGGGGCGCCTGGATGGCACAGTTGGTTGAGCATCTGCCTTTGGCTCAGGTCATGATTCTGGGGTCTTGGAATCGAGCCCGGCATTGGGCTCCCTGCTCCGCGAGGAGTCTGAGCTTGTGCTCTCTGCCATTCCCCCTGCTTGTGCTGTCTCTCTCTCAAATAAATAAATAAAATCTTTAAAAAATTTTTGAAAAAAAGAAAGGAATGATTTTGCTAAATACAGATAACTTCAGTTGAACTTTTTGCATAAATTAATCACATATTCTTTTTGGGGGTTTTAAAAATTAATTTATTAATTCCAGTATAATTAGCATATAATGTTATATTTAGTTTCAGGTGTACAACATAGTGATTCAACAATTCTGTACCCTCTCAGTGCTCATCTTGATAAGTGTGCTCTTAATCCTCCTCAGCTAATTCATTCATCCTGCCGTCCACCTCCCTTCTGGTAACCACCAGTTTGTTCTCTATAATTAAGAGCGTTTTTTTGTTTGTTTGTTTTTGTCTCTTAAATTCCACATATGAGTGAAATCGTATGGTATTTATCTTTCTCTGACTGACTTATTTCACTTAGCATTATACCTTCTAGATCCATCCATGTTGATGTAAATGGCAAGATTTCATTTTTTTTTATGGCCGAGTAATATTCTATTGTTCAGTCACATATTCTTTATTAATGGATCCTTATTTTACCTTATTCTATATTATAAGAACCTTGGCATGGCTGAGGTATAAGATTAGAACTGGTAAGTTTTCCAAATAACTAAAAGTTAGCTTTTCTAAATGCATAAGCTTTTTTTTTTTTTTTACTTTAACAACTTTTGAAGGAATTATCTCCAGAATATTCTAGAATATTTCTAAATTCAAGGGCCATCATTATAACCAACAATCAAGGACCTGTGACTTAAATAAAAAAACATGTAATATTTTAAGTTTGTTCAGCATTTCTAAATGTTTTCCAAGGCTATTGAAGAAGAGTATAGCTTTGCATTCTGTTGTTTATAATCAACATCATACCATAAACGTTGCTCCATGAAATCATTACAATTTTACTTGTTGTATAATATTCCATATGGCTCTATTGGTGGCCCTTTTGGGCAATAATCTCCCCACCCTCATGCTCTTTTAGCAAGAGCATTCTAATTGTTTTGTTTTTTGGGGAACTATCCCTTCCCCATTCCATGCAGTCAGGTTGGAGCTGTCACTCAGGGTGCCTGGCCATTCCCTCCTTGGCCAAAGGGGTGAGTTTGTGGTGTAACAGAAGTCAGGTTGGAACTGATTCATTCAGATGGAAGGGGCTGGCCATTCATCCTGCTACCCAAATCCCTGGAGCTGTTTCTGAGGCTTGAGTCAGCTCTTTCTTTGATTCAGCAACTTTATTACTTACTACCTATAGTATAGGATATAGTTGTGTGTGGGTGGGTGTGTACACATATATGTATTCTTTTTACAACATATTTGTGTCTATAAAAATATTTTTTCAACCAGCAACAATCTATAATATTCTGCCCTGTTGTTATTATCAGGTTTAATTGCTAAGATAAAGACTATTTAAGGAACAAAAGATAATGATTTTAGAAGTATCTAAGAAAAAAGAATATATTGTATGAAAATATTTTAGGTAGTGTTTAAAATAAGACTGTGATGTTGTGAATTATAAGATATATAAATCTGTTCTTCTTCCAGGATTCTAGAAGAGAGCTTCTAAAACCTTTGGAATTTCCTAGAAGTTGAGAGTGGTAAAGATTCCTTTTGTTATGTTAATGAGGTGACTTTTGGAAAGTACCTAAGGATGGGGGTGGGTTGTCAATGGAGCCAACCATGCAATTAGAGAGTTGGAATTTTCGGTTCCACCCCCTGACCTCCAGGGAGGGGAGAGGTGCTGGAGATTGAATTCAGTCACCAATGACCAAAGATTTAATCAGTTGTACCTGTGTAATGAAGCCCCCTAAAACCCCAGGAGGACTGGGTTCAGAGAGCTTCCTGGTTGGTGAACACGTGGAGATTCCGGGAGAGTGAGCACCAAGAGAGCGCATGGAAGCTCCTCAACCTGTCCCCATACCTTGCTTTCTGCATCTCTTCCATCTGGCTGTTACTGAGTTACATCCTTTTATAGTAAGCCAGTAATCTAGAAGTAAAATGTTTCTCTGAGTTCTGTGAGCCGCTCTAGCAAATTAATCCAACCTGATGGAGGGAATCTTGGGAACCCCCAATCTACAGCCAGTCAGTCAGAAGTACAGGTAATGACCTGGGTTTGTGACTGGCGTCTGAGGTGGCCGGCAGGGGAGTGGGCGGTGATAGGGGAGAGGTGTTGGAGAGAGCAGTTGGGTAGGACTGAACTTTAACCTGTGAGTCCTGGTGGATAGTGTCAGTTAAGTGGAGTTGTGAGACACTCAGGTGGTATTGCTTGGTAGAAGGGTGGGGAGACCTTCCTCCTCACCCCCTCTGACTTTGGGGAAATTGACCCAGAAACACTAACAAAGACATACCAATCAGCTGAACATGTGACAAGTTGACAGCATATTCCATTTCGATTCTCAAAGACAGTACCCGATCTGTTAATCTGTTTTTTTAAAGACACAAGAAGTAATTTATTTGTACCTAGGATGTAATGGCTTTTCTCGTAGCGTTTTACTCTTTTAATATTTTCTTCTTTGTTTTAATTTTTATTAAAAGAATATAACAATATCACTGAAATTTGAAGAATAAGTCTTAAAATAAAATGTAATTTGGCCATATATTTTTCCAGTTTTTTTCACAGAAACATTTTGACATAGTTTAACTAGCATGCATAAAAATTTCTATCCTTAGATTTTTCAGTTGATGTAATTTGAACACTCACCTGTGTACTCATAAGTCATTTTAACAGTTTTATAATATATAGATGGTGTATCACAATTTCATTATCCACTATAATTAGAAATGGAGGGTCTTTTGTTTTACTTAATGGTGGAACAGAACATAGGCATTTTTATGAGATTGTTAGGCAGATAAGGTGTAACATTAGATAACATTTAGTGTAACTTTAGATACCAACAATCACCCGGCACAGGCAAGAATCCAAGGAGGGTTAATGGCTCCTCAGGGTCCTAGAAGGTCCCAAGTTCCAACTAGCTAGCTTTGAAACAAGGTGAAAGGTTTTGTGGTAATCTATGGAGGTGCCACTCTTGAAACAGTAGGGGAGACATGACTTTCCCCAATTCCCTACCTTCCTGGTATGACTGATGAGCAAAATAGTAATCAAAGGTAGGGGCTCCAGCAGCAAATAAACAGTGGAAGAAGCGGGTGGGAGGAGGGAGACAGGGGCTGCACCGCTAAGCCCAGTAGGTGTCCCAGGAGCTAAGACCCTGGAAACCTGGCCGAGGCCACAGGAGCCTAACACTCTCTGGTTCCCAAATGCTGTCAACTTCTACTCATCTGATAAGGAATCCAGAGTCCGTGTGGCCTCTCCCTCTACTGAGCCTTCCCTGCTGTATAAAGCGCAAGACCCCAGAAATGTGCTTGCTCTGAGCTTTTATGTTTTAATGATTTAAACAACAACAACATAATATTATAGAAATTTGGAAAATAGGAGGTTTAATATCAAATATAATTCTACCTATATTCTTTTCCAGTCTTTTTTCATGAATACATTTTTTTTAAAGATTTTATTTATTTATTTGAGAGAGAGAGAATGAGAGATAGAGAGCATGAGAGGGAAGAGGGTCAGAGGGAGAAGCAGACTCCCTGCTGAGCAGGGACCCCAATGCGGGACTCGATCCCAGGACTCCAGGATCATGACCTGAGCCGAAGGCAGTCGCTTAACCAACTGAGCCACCCAGGCGCCCTCATGAATACATTTTGACATAATTTGTTAGGATGTGCATGTAATGTTGTATCTTGAGGCACAAATTGCATTATTTCTTAATATGAATTCCCAAAATTTGAATTACTGTTCAAAAAGTTGAAAATTTGGATGATTTAAGAACCACACTAATTGTATTCCAAAAGTTTTGTGTTGGAACCAGCAGTGTTAGAGTTTACTGGTTTCACCACTGCATCCTTTCTAACACAGGGTATTATTATTTATTAAATTTTTATTTAAAAATTAAATGATCCACAAGAGTATATTATTGTTGCTTTATTATTAATTTCTTTGATATTAGAAAGCCTGAATGATTTTCATGTTTATCTACTAATTGTTTTTCAGTATATGTTTTATTTACTGGAAACCATATTTTAGACCAATATTTTCCTCCATTTTGTTGTTTGCTCTTTGTTAAATTTAGAAATTTACATGTGTATGTTTTGAATTTCCTTCAACATTAATTAACTTAGAAAACTATCTCCAATCCAGAAATATGGTATTCTATGGTATTCTATTTTGATTTTTATTATATTTTTCCTATGATTTGTTATTTTTATTTAAATTTATAATCATCTGAATTAATTTGTGTGTACCGTGTGAGCTGAAATGAAGTTGAAACAGAGAGTTCCTTCCGTTACACTATGTTAAACTCTTAGAGGTAATAGAAACTGTCTGGACTATTTGTTGAGGTCCATTATAACTTTTAAAAGTATTGTTGCTTTGCATCATCCATTTGAATATGTTGAAGAGCTAATTACCTTTTATAACTCTACTTTGTCATAATATTCTTTGATATTCTCAAAGTACACAGTAGACCCTTAGTGTCCTTGAAGGAAACATTTGGGGAGCTTACCAGTTTCCAAATTCACTAACACCAGACTTAGTGAGTCAGGTACAGAACTACAAAGCCAAACTATATCGCAGATGCTAGGCACTCAGCTGGACTCATTCACTGCATCATTAGTTTTCACCCACCAGCCTCACAGTGCATTCAGTTCAAAATTGCCTTGACAAAATAATACATTACTATATGTCACAGATCTTCAGAGTTGCCTGCTCCAGCTAGCTGAAATTATAAATTTTAAATCCACAAAGGGTGAGGGTGTAAAATATTTGCACTCTATCTTTACATATCAAACTCTTATCTTCTCCACTATTATATCATTGTTGACACCACCTACAGTTTTTAGTGGTTTATAAGCCATTGAAGTTGAAACATTGGCCTTAGTCTCATCCCCAAGTCAGATATTGGCCAGGCAACACTGACAAAACTGTTTGATGCCCTGGTTCCTGGTTATTTTATGATTTAAATGTAAATGAATTATTGACTTGAAACATGCTCTTTGAATAAAATCTTCTGAAATGTACAATCCAGCAGGAGAAAATTATGAAACCATCAAGACTCACCTCAAATGTGTCAGACAGCCAATGTATATCTGTAATTACTTTCTTATGACCATTTTCTATTGAGGAAACTGCACAATGTCTGATATATGTTGCTTCTTTATTACTGTCTGGTTCAAGGAGAAACATAGGCTGGAAAAATGTGAAAAGAAAGTTATATGCTAATTTCAGAGAGCTATGAGTGAATTCATACTTTACTCTTTATTCTAGTTAGAATTAATAACTTGGAGAAATACTAGTTCAAAGAAAAACATTGAAACTAGTGTTTCAATGCATCATGTATTTAGGTAATAAGATTATGCACTTTCCCTTCAATTTAGTCTAAGGTTTCATCTCCAAACTTAACAGGAATGATTGACCCACTCCCTAAAGGATCAATGAAATCCTATCTTTAAAGGAGTGTTTCCTGAATGCACAGAGGGCCACGCCCACTGTGTCTTGGTGGAGGCCCATTGGTGTTCAGATTGAAGAACTGGGGGTAGAGGTTTGCAATATGGTGGGTGAGTACTATGTCAGGAGCTCAGGAATCTTGCCTCAACCCTCTTGGCAGCATCCACAGCATCACAAAATCATAGTATATGATTATCAGAAAGGATGGTAACCCCTTCATTCTACACATGAGAAAACTGATGCTTGCTGAGGTGAGAAGACATGTCCAAACTCACAGGACTACAGTCCAGAGCCTACATACATGGTCCTTCTGTCCCATGCTCTTTCCATGACATCACTTTAGGCAAGTCACTTTATTTTATTTAACAACAACGACAAAAATAACATCCTCAGGTAGGTCATGCGACTTGTTTTATTGATTTTTGAATCAAGGGCCTACATAAAAGCGGTTCAGAACATGTCCACAAACAGATGTGAAGGTGTGGGAAATAATAACTTTTTTCCCCTCTCTCTATATTGTTTTAAAGATTTTTTATTTATTTATTTGACAGAGGGAGACAGTGAGAGAGGGAACACAAGCAGGAGGAGTGGGAGAGGGAGAAGCAGGCTTCCTGCCGAGCAGGGAGCCCGACGTGGGGCTCGATCCCAGGACCCTGGGATCATGACCTGAGCCGAAGGCAGATGCTTAACGACTGAGCCACCCAGGCGCCCATTTTTCCCTCTATATTGAGTCTTTGTGTAGCTTGGCAGTTCTGTTACGTACTTTTTTTTTTTTTTTAAAGATTTTATCTATTCATCTGACAGAGAGAGACACAGCGAGAGAGGGAACACAAGCAGGGGGAATGGGAGAGGGAGAAGTAGGCTTCCCGCCGAGCAGGGAGCCCGATGCGGGGCTTGATCCCAGGACTCTGGGATCATGACCCGAGCCGAAGGCAGACGTCTAATGACTGAGCCACCCAGGCGCCCCACCATTATGTACTTTTTGATAAACCCCTGAACTGAAGAAACTTGCTAGTCAAAAGTTATAAAAAGCTAACCTTGAGCGTGACTTTTTTACTTCTACTACCACCTGTCTTGATGTTTTCTATGCGATCTGCATGCGCAGTAATATCCCACATGACAATCTAAAACAGAAATAAAGCTTATTACAACATATTTTCAGGAAATAGCTCATTGGGTCTTAAAGAATTTTTAAAAACCTATTGGTATTGGCATGCACTCTGATGAATCAATCTCCTTGAAGGATAATCAAATTTAGCCTACATCTTTAGTAAGTCAGCAACTTTTAAATCATGACAAAGAATGTTTTCTTCTCTATAAAAGTATTTTTTAGCACTTTGATTTTTGTGCCTGTGTTAATAAAAGCTAGTATTTAAAAAAAAAAACAAAAAACTCCAGTATAAACCGTATGCAATTTCCTCTGCTTTGGGAAGAGTTCTTCCTCTGTCTTTGGGAATGTGCTGTGACTATGTGGAAAGCAGCTTTGCCTGTTCTCCAGAAGTAGTACAAATACTCAGTTGTCCAAAAAGGCTGGAAAATGATGATTTCTACTTAATTGAATATTCTAGCCAACTCTAAGTTTGCATATACATGGATGGTCATCTTTGGAAAAATGAGAATAAACTAGAATATGCAACACGAAATTAGATTAATTTTCAATGATTAAAAGTCATTTCAACACACTGAAATGTTAACAAAATGTCAGGATTACAGAATTGTGAGTGATTTTATTTTCATCATTTGCTTTTCTAAAATATTCTTTTAAAAAAGTATTTTTTTATTTATTTACTTACTTACTTAAAGTAATCTCTACCACCCAACATGGGGCTTGAACTCATAGCCCCAAGATCAAGAGTCGCACGCTTTTTGACTGAGCCAGCCAGGCACCCCTTTTCTAAAATATTCTTAGAGTTGTATCACTTTCATAATGAGTAACAAAAAGCATTTCAGGATTTGCAGGGCTTGGAGGATGGGCTCTGGGTCATCATTATGACCACAGTTATTGTTGGTCTGGATGGGGAAAAATGGTTTTCCTGGTTGTTTTGGTTCTGGATAAATGGTCATGGATGCTGTAGACATTTATTTTTTTTTAAAGATGTATTTAGGGGCACCAGGGTGGCTCAATGGTTAAGCGTCTGCCTTTGGCTCAGGTCATGATCTCAGGGTCCTGGCATTGAGCCCCACATTGGGCTCCCTACTCAGCAGAGAGCCTGCTTCTTCCCTCTCCCCGTGCTGCGCCCCCTGCTTGTGCTCTCTCTGTGTCTGTCTCTTTCTCTCTCTGTCAAATAAATAAATAAAATCTTTTTTTTTTTTAAGATTTTATTTATTTATTTGCCAGAGAGAGACACAGTGAGAGAGGGAACACAAGCAGGGGGGAGTGGGAGAGGGAGAAGCAGGCTTCCAGCTAAGCAGAGAGCCCAATGCGGGGCTCGATCCCAGGACCCTGGGATCATGACCTGAGCCGAAGGCAGACACTTAACGACTGAGCCACCCAGGCACCCCATAAATAAAATCTTAAAAAAAAAAAAGATGTATTTATTTGAGAGAGAAGGCTTGTGGGAGAGGGGTAGGGGGAGAGGGAGAGGATCACAAGCAGACTCTCTGCTGAGTATAGAGCCTGATGATGTGGGGCTCAATCCCACGACCCTGAGATCATGACCTGAGCCAAAACCAAAAGTCAGACACTCAACCAACTGAGTCCCAGGCATCCGCACTGTAGACACTTAAATTTTCAATCACAAGGAAGTTTTCCTAGCCACACACAAAAAGACCATATACCATTAATGGTCAAACTCACTGGGTCACAGTGAATTTCAATTCTGATCATAAAACAGCTTTAAGATTTTGTTTTGCTTTATTGGAGAAATAGGCAACTGGAAGATAGGATCTAAATTTCATATACATTAGATAAAAAGAGAAGAAAACAAATATGGTATCAAATTATACATATGTAAATTCAGTAATATATGTATTTTTCCCAGTGAATTGCTGTTCAAATTCTGGATCATCCCCTAACTCCGATTCCTAGAGAAACATCAGAAGAGGACTCTCGACCAAGAGGTATTAATGCTTGTGTTTTTGTTCTTCTGTGGAATCTTGTACAATATGCGGTTCTGTTCCACAAATACAAACAGATTTGACTCAGTTTTCTTCCAGTTATAACTAGATTACCCTGTGGACACCTCAAGCCCTGATACCATGTCTAACACATCTATATACCCCAGGTTTGGCACACAATTGGCATACTTTCCTTCGGCCAAATTGAATCCTTAAGTTTAAGAAAAACTACCAATCAAAACATATTACAGAATGTTGTCTAAATTAATAAATAGCTGGGGGAAAAATCCATAATTACCTGCCCATTTATGCAGCCTCCAGCAATGATATTAGGGTCACTTGGACAGAACTTGAAGCAAAAGATGTCATCTGGGCTCTCCAGCATTAACTAAAGCAAATCCCCCCAAATTCAAGAGAGAATGAGAAAACCTATTAAGATCATAGTGAGAAAATAATGTTAACACAGTCAAAAGTTGAATTTTATAGCCGTCTGTAAGAAACGTGGACGTAGAGTCCATTCCCAGAATCCCACCTGTGGATGGAAAGTTGCCTCTGCTGAATTTTGTGAACGTTGGCTATGTGTATGAGAGAGGTAGATTCTCCAGGAGCCCAGGTCTCCCCTTCCTCCACCCTCCATGGGTTATTGCTGAGAGATGTTACAATTTTTTAAAACAAAAAGACTAAGCTTAGTGTTTCTGAGAAGTGTGAAGGTAAGCTCTGTGAGGACAAGATACTTTTCTGTTTTGTTGCCTGCTGTCTAGCTAGTCTGGCACAGAGTAAGCACTCAGAAAGAAAATGTGTTGAATGAGAAAAGATAGAAGTATTGCCAGTGATAATATTTCAAATTTTAAAATAATACAGGACCCAGAAGGTAAACAAACTCAAGTATTGGAAGGTAAGAAGGAAGCCCTGCAAGGAATATACCAGTGTGAAGGAATAGGTATAGTAATCATACTGGGCACCTGTGCTAATGTGTTAGCACCAGGCAAAATACGTGCATGGTTACTGTTCTTCCTTAAACATGACCATTAAAAATGTGGACCCCAGAGGCCACTGGTTTGCCACCACTGAGCTAAAGTTTCGGACTGGAATTGGAGTGAATCATCTTTGTTTATTTGGTACTCTGTGGCTTCTAGAGAAACTTTTACTTTTAAAGTAAATTAAAAAAAATATTGTCCTATAGTTTTGATAGAACAAAGACAAAAGAAATCATTTGCATTATTTAAGAAATTATTTGCTTGTCTTTTAAAGCTAGTCTTCAAAATAAAGGAGAGGGTCCTTTTTTCCTCTTCCTAATTTGCATGGAAGTTCAGCCACACTTCCATGATGTGGACTGGAGAGTAATCCTAGTCCACTAGAAAATGTTAGAAAACCCCTACTTAACCATTTTTGTGGTAATTAGGCTGATAGGAAAGAACTAGAGATCTGTCATTTTGATCTCTATGTCTATAATAATTAAAGTACTAGAATCTATTATAGTAAAACTGCCTGAATTCAGATAAATTAGGGAAGAACCTAGGAGGAAAGGCTAGGGTTTATTAGGGAAATCCTTAGATATACAATACTTTAGAGAAACCAAATATTATATTTAAGTACATTAAAAAAAACTTAATCTAACACTATAAAGCACCCTCCCCTAAGCAAAACTCTTTGAGCAGCTGATAGAAATAGAACCCTGTGGGGCAAACCTAGCCCTCAGACTTGTTTTATTTGAATTGTGTGTTTGGTTTGGTTTTAGTTGAACTATTTAAAAATTGGGAGATTTCATTCAAAAAATCTGATCTGGATTCTTTAAACCCAGTAAGACCACCTGGCAACAAGAGAGCTGAAGAGTAGTATCCCCCCAGATGGGCTGTCCACTCTCCAGGGCCATAGTCTGCACCCCTCCCCATTGTTTCCCACAAAGGCATCTGTACTCCTTACTGTCACCTACCGGTGATCCTCAGAACTGAGGAAATTCATGTGAAATTAAATTCTATTTGCATTTGAACAAATAGTATTTAAATAAAGCCCATGAAAGTGTTTGCTTTTTAACAGTCCTCTTAAAATCGTTTCTGAAAATAACATGTTGATTTGTTCAATAAACCTTTTCAAAAAACTAAGTGTAAACTTTAGTTTTGCTCAAATTGATGACAAATTCTAAATTGAAGAAAGCTTAACTTTACCAGCACTTACCATATTAACTGGTTATAAAGTACTTTGCAATTAAAACTGCTAAAGATAAATGTGAACATAGTTTTTGAAATGTTTAGACTATGTGGACACCTCTCCTTAAATTACCTGAGGATGTATGGGATCTGAGAAACTCCAGAAAAGAATCAGTGATGGTTGCAGCAACAGTTTACCAGAAAAGTGGACTCTCTCTTCAAGGGAGAGTCGTGCAGCCACGGACACAGCTATTAGGCCTGATTGAAACACAATTAGAAGTTAAAATCTGCAGCAACGGTACATAGAGAAATGTTTTTAGGTTTTGCTGCTCAACGTGGTCACTATTCATTTCCATTTTGATGAAACCTGAATAAATACATTCAAAAAGAGACCAAGAGTTCTCCTAGAGTTCTACGAGGTAATACGGTAGCCAGTAGCCACATGTTGCTTATTTAGCCCTTGAAAGGTGGTCAGTCCAAACTGAGATGTACTGTTAATATAAAATAAACAATGGACTTCAAAGATTTAGTATGAATTGTGTGTGTGGGTATGTGTGTGTGTGTGTGTGTGAGAGAGAGAGAGAGAGAGAGAGATTGAGAAGGGCCACTGTGGGGGAGAGGAGGAGGAAAAAAGAGGGAAAAGACCTTTTTCTCTTCGTGGTTCCATCTGCATGTGGTTCCACCTGCACCGGGTGCCCCCTCCCTTGGCTGCTGAGTGATTTAAGGGAGGTGTGTTTCCTCTCTTGTCCAGTAATCAGATAGGAAGAGCATGTGAAGGGAGGGGTGGGGGGCGGGAAAAGGAGCTAGCCTTGGGAGTCCCAACAGGCTGAGGCAAATCCAGATTCAGCACTGCACCGGCTAGGTGACCTGAGCCCGTCACTTCCCTGGCTTGAGCTCTGGTTCTGTCCTTGTAGAGACCACAGTGAGGTGCTGGGAGAACACAGGACGGCAGGGGTGCCGAAAATGCTTGGCGGGTGCACTTTGCAGCTGGAAGTGGTCTTACTGCAACTGAGAAACTGAGCTAGTTTGTCATTTTACTAGAAAAGTCACAGACTATTTCTGTGCCATCACAAAAGAGAACCACCGTCCTGTTCATCTCACCATAGATGGTCGGATGCCACGAGACGGAGGTGACCATCTTCTCTGTCAGGTTATGGAGGTCCGTAAAGGACTGGTACTCTTTCAGGTGTGTATCGGTTTTGTCTCCAAAGGAGCTTTCTTCTTCTGCCAGGCACTTCCAATCATCAATAAATGTGTTCATGATTTCATTTTGCTGCAGGGCTATTTCAACACTATTTTGTTTAAAAAAGCAAACAAAAAAAACCCAAGACGTTGGATTTTACTATTCAATGACAGGTCTTTCAGCAGATTCTCCTTCATTTATATGGAAAGAAAAAAATGTTCTCAATTATGTTTGGTAACTGACAATTACCCCCATGTGAAATAAATGACTTAAGAGAAAAAAACCTCATAGCTGTGTGCTACTCAGAACTTCTAGTGCCAGGAGGCTGTTAGCTGATGGCCTGGAGCACCTTCGTGATCTACCCAGGCTTCCAGGCTGAGGATGTGCTCGCCCAGGCCCATAACTGAGCTTGCAGCTGCAGGGACACGGGGCCTGCCCCTCTCTGCCTCCTGCTGGACTCCTCCCACAGGCCGTCTTCCCGCTGGAGTTCCCTGCTGGGGTTGGCCTAGACCTTGCTGAAGCTCTCTTTGCCCAATCCTGCTTCCTTTTAAAAAAAAAATTTTACACAGCGGGACCCTCAGTAAACCTCTACTTTAAACTCGGTCTCATTCGCTTCCTGAAAACCCCAAACGGACAGAAAAGGCAATTTTCTTAGCCATATTCAGTACTGAATGTTCATATATACTAATTACTATACAAATATATTAGGATTATATATATATATTTAGGGTTATGTATTAATCAGGATTAGAATATATATTTATATATTGTATATATAAAATTTAAAATAAAAGATTCTCAAGGGGAGATTTGGAGGTTAGAAGTGTGATGTGTGTGTGTGTGTGGTAGTGGTGGTGGTGGTTTTAGTTATCACAGTGCCTGGGAGGTGCTAATGTGTTTAACTATTACTAAACCTGCAATGCATGATACAATCCCTCAAATTAAGAATTATCCTGCTAACAAGGCTAATATTGCCCTTTCTTTTTTTTTTAAAAGATTTTATTTATTTGAGAGAGAGAGGATGAGAGCATGAGAGGGAAGAGGGTCAGAGGGAGAAGCAGACTCCCTGCTGAGCAGGGAGCCCGATGCGGGACTCGATCCCGGGACTCCAGGATCATGACCTGAGCCGAAGGCAGTCGCTTAACCAACCTGAGCCACCCAGGCGCCCTAATATTGCCCTTTCAAGAACAATCTGAGTGCTAGGCTCATCTCTTAGTAGCCTAGGGCCCTGACTTGACTGGCCCCTGTCTTAAAAGTTACTATAAGAGCTCCAAACTCGGTGAATAGTGCTGGGAACCCAGCATGTCTCTCCCAACCTCCCACCCCCAATCACTTGTCCTGTGCATCTCTTCCATTTGGCTGCTCCGGAGTTGTATCCTTTACAATGAACTGGTAGGAGTAAGGAGAGCACTTTCCTGAGTTAAATGAGTCATTCTGGAGAATTATCAAACTGATTTATAGCTGGTCAGTCAGAAGCATAGCCCCCCTGGGACTTGAGACTGGCGTCTGAAGTTGGGGCAGGCTTGTGGGACTAAGCCCCTTAACTTGTGGAGTCTGCACTAACTCCAGATAGAGAACTTCAGAGAGCTAGAGAATTGATGTGGGAGAGGATACTATTTGGTGTTGGGGGAAAAAACCCTCATTTGGTACCGGAGGTGGTATCAGGAAGAACTTGAGAGTCCCATTTTCCTGCTTCTTCACATGGTTAGAGACTTTACATATTTAATGAAACTGGTTGTTATAAATGATATGTTGTAGAGACCTGGATTCTCTTTTTCCCCTCTGAAAAGTGAAATTTATTCTGGACTCAAACTCCAAATTCTGTCTTCTTTGTATAGAGCAATAGCTGAAATCTCTGCTCACTTTTTCAGCTTCTAGATGCTGGTTGTTCTGGACTCCCCTAGAGTTTCCCCTAAAAATGAGCACTTTAGTCTACAAACTAGGATCTGATTAGATTTTTTAGGTGGATCTGGGGTCTTGGCTTATCTGGGGCTCCCTTCCTTCCATGACTTTCCCTTGACTATTTGGTTATTCTACCACCCACAGACCTGTAAGGCTGCAGGTTTCTGTCACCTGAGCCTCCTATGGATTAGGCACTAATTATAGAAAAAGCACTGCAAACCTGCAAATCTCATCCTTCTCCCCTCTAGTTTCTGCAAACTTTTGGTCACTCTCCTGAGCCTTCAAGTAGCTGTGTTTATGTTTGCGTATAAATACTGTTTTTTAGATTTTCTGTTTTCTGTGAGTTTGACTAACTTATTTCACCATTACTCAGTCACTTGCTTATGATATGAAAATGAGGTATATTCTTGAAAGAAGCAGTACCATAAACAAAAAACAAAACAAAACAAAAATTGCTGTAAGATTCTGTCATGTTTATTGCCCCTGTATGTGCTTGGTTTGAAAGCTCAGCTCACTCACAAGGCCTCTGGAGCTTTCCCACAATTAGGATGTCACCCAACGTTTTACCCTAATGATTGAGAGTCCAAATAGCTTGGTTTTTTAATAGGTATGGTAAGCTGAAAGAGTGGTTCTTGAGTATGAATTTCCTCAAATAAGAAAAAAAAACCCTCCTTAGACAATTAAATATAAACTCTAAATATTATAATAGATACTCCTAAGAATGTAATTAAACAGGGTGACCTTTAATACCTCTATTGTTAAGAATTAACACTACCGTCCAGTGCTTAATTGGGTACTCTTGGTTAAATTCTTCTTGTATTTTACCTTCCAAACTAGGACCTTGCTACTTAAAGTATGGTCTATGGGCCCCCAGCACCATCATGACCTAGAGTTTGCCAAAAAAGGAGTCACAGACTCCACCCTGAATTTAAGGAATCAGAGTCCACATGTTGACAAGATCCCCAGGTGATTCATATGCACGTTTAAACACCCATGAGGGCTAGCTTCGCAGCCTGGAGCTTCAAGTAGAAGCATTTGTTAGCTTTTTCAAAATCTTGTGGGGTTTTTGTTTTGTTTTGTTTTGGTTTGGTTTTTTTTCTGTTTCAGCCTAAATGAGAAAGAAATTCCCCAGAGACAAGCTAAAGCCAGGGCCTTTGATCTGATTTCCTGATTCTTCCCTCTCAGCCTGAACTGGGAACTAATTCACAAAGGAGAAGTGAAGACAGCACCTATTCTCTGGTTTCCTGTTTCTTTATTTTCCTGCACTCCAGTTTCTGAGGGTGATGAAGTGGAGGCTGGCAAAACCGTCGTCTGAGTTAGAGCCTGTAAGTACTTTTTTTTTAAGATTTTATTTATTATTTTTTAGAGAGAGAGATAGGGAGTGAGAGCGGGCGGGGGGGGGGGGGGCAGAGGGAGAGGGAGAGAATCTCAAGCGGACTCTGAGCTGAGCATGGAGCCTGACTTGGGGCTCGATCCCAGGACCTGAGCTGAAATCAAGAGTCAGACACTTAACCAACTGAGCCATCCAGGTGCTCCTGTAAGTATTTTTTTTTTTAACTCAAAAACAAATGTTTTTTAGTTGCTTTGAGAATCCCTTGAAGTTCTTCTCTTTCCTTTCTTATCATTTCCTTCTTTTGCAAATACTGCTTCCCTTAGGTTCTTTATGGATAAAATTCTTTAAGAAAGAACTCATTTCTAAAAGGGCACTATTCCCAGATCAAAACCAGCCTTATATTAACTTTTTTTTAAAAAAAATTGAATAAACCTTAAACAGTTTTAGAGTGGGAAACATGGCAGTGATATATTTGTGGGCTTATTTATTCTTGACCGGTGCTATTATAATTCCTGTGCCAATTTTCCTCTTTTTCTTATAGTTCTGGCTGCTTCTTCCCACATCTTAGAGAGGGAATTATAAAGCTGTTTACTATTCCTCTCTCAGTAAGCATGGTAACTGAAAGGGAAGAATAAAAACCTAGGTCTAAAGATAATACACCATGTGGATAATTAAGAATTGGCTATCGGCCATTTATGGCTTTGAAATGGATTGTACATAGACTTCTCATTTTTAATATTCTTATCAGGAAAAATTTTAAGGACTAAATTTTGATATGGGGAAACAAAAACCTTAGGTTTTCTTGTTTCTTTCTCATTGCCCCACAGGAAAAACTATAGCATGCTTCCTGTAAATGAGTGGCAAATAGTTATGCACTCTGTTTTTCTGTTTTTGTTGTTTAGTTTTGTAGCCTAAGCAGAAATGCATTTGTCACCAGACAAGAAAGTGAGGCTTGCTTCAAAGTCCGAAGTAAACTCACCTGATTTTCATTTCCCCTAATCAACCAGGAGAGTCCACAAAACTGCAACCCCCTTTTTAAAACATTGAACCTCTGGCAATTTCTGGAGATTTCATGGAATTCTGCCTTGTAGTGTGTCCCCTACCCTTGCCATGAGATATACAGTTTTTCTGCACGTTTAATATCTTCTCCAGAGACCAACTAGTATGGAAATCCTGTGAGGAGAGACTGTGTTCCTGCCTCTGGGTTTCTGGCTCTTTGTTAAAAGCCATTGTGTTCCCTCCGCTCTCCAAGCTTTGATTCCATAGTTATTCTGGTGGCTGGCTCAGGGAAATAGCAGGCAAGCTAGCCAAAGTGTATGACAAGTCAGCAAGGGACAGCTGTTGAACAGCTGTTAGTCATCAGGCATTGATGGAACATCTGTCTTTCTTTGTTCCACGTTTACTAAACTTCACAAGAAGCCTTGACCCGGAGTAAACAAAACTATACATACCTAAAGTATTTTATCTAGTTTAATGCTCTCCCCTTGCATCTCTGGTGAATTTTTGAACCAGATTCCCCCCAGACATAGGTAACAACTTTCGAGAGTTGTTGGAATTTTCAGGATATTTAAAAGTCTCAAAGAATTAATGGTGTTTTCTTAAAAATGCAAAAACTTAATATGGGCTACGAATGAATTCGACCAACAAATTTTTAATTTTGGAAAGAAATGGAAACCAACCTACAGGGTACACCTGGCAGACCTGTCCATCACTGGCTCCACTTCTCTGAACTCTGATGTTGACTTGATGAGACCTTGTCAAGCTCTTCTCTGGTTTAGAAACCCCAGGGTCCTATTAACAGTGTCTGTGTGTGTGTGTATGTGTGTGTGTGGGGGGGTGTTTCTGAAGACACCTCTCTCTCAGATTCAGTAAGAGTGGCAGCAACACAGGAATTAGGGGCAAGGGGTAAGATGTGCAAAGGTACATCAGAATCGAATTCAGGTTATCGTTTACAAAGATCATCATCGTCATGATCATCTTCCACATTCCCTTCATCCTCATCTTTGCAGTCCTATACAAGTTAATGAAGCTAAGAAGGAGAGTAGGGAGTGGAGAACAAAGACTTAAATAAAAGAACCAGGATAAATAGATGTTAATTTGCTATTAGGAAAACATCCTCACACACTCAACTGTATAGTCTCGCAGGGGAACACTGGTATGGCCCTAGCTTGGGAGGTCTAGGGTGTTGCCCGGCCATAGAAAGGAAGGACGGAGAATGTTGTCACGTGCTCATGCATATCTGATGACTCCTCATACTAATTAGACACCATGGAGCCGGTTGCTTTTTAAGACCTATCACTATAGGTACACATACACATTTTATGTTTTATCTTAAAAATTTAATAGACAATTCTTACCTTATACATGTGTTGTTAAGAAAGTCACTCAAAGGCTTTGATTGTCCAAATGTCTCTTTCTCCTCCTCTGATAATTCTCTTGGATAATATTGTGTAATGGCATTTTTGGGATATGTCCTAATATATTAAAAGAAAATTGAATACCAAAAATTAGAACAAAGGAAAGTAAACATAGCTTGTGACAGGTCAAAGGTTTCTTTCTGTAACGGTAATAAGATACTATTTTTTATTTAAATTCTATATATTGAATTTTTTTCTTTATCCTAGATAATCGATATTAACTGCCTTTTTGAAATACTTTGAGTATTTATGTATTTGTTTCCAACATAAGAAGTTCTTATTTTTTAAAATTTTTATTTAGATTTTTTAACTTAAAGAAAAGTTGTAAGAAGGATCTAAGGAACTCTCATACACTCTTCACCCAGATTCATCTGCTATTAACATTTTGCCACATTTGTTCATCATTCTCTTGCTCTTCATTTCATTAAATCAGTGTTTCTTAACCAGTGCAGTCCTACCCCACCCCCATACCCTGGGAACTTTTGGCCACATCCAGGAACATTTTTGGTTGTCACAACTGGAATGTGCTACTGGCATATAGTGAGTAGAATCCAGGGATGCTGTTTAATACCCTACAACGTACAAGACAGCCTTCCATAAAAGAGAATTATCCAGCCCAAAATGTCAGTAGAGTTGAGATTGAGAAACTCTGCTCTATATATACAAAACTAAAAACAATTTACATTTCAGCAATGATGGCAATGTGATCTCTGGGAGAAAGCTTATTCCATCCAGTCTGCCCTCAGTGCTCACCTGCACCCTTGAACATAGCCTGTTGCATTTCGGCATTGGCAGTCTCGCCCGTAGGACCGGGTGAGCTCCTTGATCTTATGGTATGGGGCTATAGAAAGGTCGTGTGTCACAGTCATTAAGAGTATGTACTCTGGTGACACGCTGCCTGGTTTTGAAGCCTGATTTTATCACTAACAAGCTTTGTGACCCCAAGCTAATTATTTAACCTCTCTGTGTCTGTTTATTCATCTCTAAATGAAATTCTCAAAGTAGCTGGCTCCTAGAGTCATTGTAAATTGAATGTGTTAATACATGCAAAGCTTTTAAAACAGTGCCTAGCCCATTGTAAGTGCTCAAAAAAGTATTAGGTTGTATTTAATCTGTGTTGGACAGATGTCAGTAAAATGTCTCTGTGAGAGGAAAATATATTAAGTGAAGAGTAATGAAACAAAGCATAAAGAGAGTTTTATGTTTAATAAAGAATTCATTCTTTTTTCTCCTAAATAGCCCAGTATCAGTAGCATAAAGCAGAGTGCTGGAAAGAAAGAATGTTGGTATTGGAACCAGAGAGATTTGGGTTCAAATCTTAGCTTCACCTCTTAAATTTTAGCACACATTAGTGTCCTCTAGGTAGGATTAAGTAAGAAATTATGTGGCACCTATGGGTTTCATCCAAGAAGCAACATGACTAAATCACTCTGATATTTTCAATGTGATTTGTTTTGTTATTTCTCAGCAGATCTGTTACTGCTTCAGATTTAAATTATGTTCCGAACATTGAGCTTTCATTTTTAACCTGGCTTAGCTTCAGTTTCTTTATTTGTAAAATGGGCATAGTGTCTACCTCAGAGGGCAGTTGTGAGAATTGAGTTGCTGCATGCCAAGTGCTTAGAAGAATGCCTAGTGTGTGGTAAGAACACAGTGAACATTTGCTTTAACTGTCAGTCCTCTTTGAACCTCACCTTTGATTTTTTTTTTTTTAACTTCCACCACAATTGTATCTCTCAGCCTCTCTACCCCAGACTAGCTACCCTTCCTGATTTCCTGATGTTGGTAAGGAGTACCAGCATTCTCCCAGCATCCTAGATTTGAACCTTTTGATTCATATATTTTGTTTCATCTCATGGGTCAAGACCCTCACTTACTTCTCATCTTTTCACTCCGTCTGTATAGATACAACTGTCTCTTGGTATGAGTCAGCATTCATTGAGAAGCTACTAAATCTAGAGTCCTCTGGTTTGGGTCCCTGTTGTTGGGAGTTCCCTGTCCTTTTCTGAGTCTACCTGTCAAGTCTACCCTGGCTGACTCATTCTCATCACTTTTTTGCACCCTGGCAGGAACATAGGAAAAGTCTCTGGCTGGCTTGGCTTAGAAATTTGTCTCAAAGTTTAAGTGTCTTTGGTACTAATGTCTCACCTCTCTCCCTCCTGTCTCAGCCTCTTCTTGGTATTTGTGGATCTCTGGTGTCCTGATTCTCTGTCCAGACTTGACTACTGATCCTGTCTTTCTTTTTTACCTTCTTTAATTCTGGCCTGTCTATTCATCTGCCTCCCTTGTTTCTGACCCATTTCTTATTCCGACCCCTGGTATTGATTGATGTGTATGTGCCCTGACTTTATCACTGCATTTTTATGGGTTTCTGACTTGTTGGTTTACATAGATTTGAAAAGCATGTTTTATATTTCACTCTACACTGCTATTCCTGATTCTCCTGGTCACTGCATATTTCATAGCCCTCTCCTGACACTATGAAATCAAGTCAGTCATCTGTTCTGCACATTCTTCTTTAACTCCATCCATCTCTTCCCCCTTCCTTCCTCCATTTCATAAATGTGTGTCAGGAAATATCCTAGGAGTTGAAGATGTGGAAATAAAATAGACGAAGTTCCTGTGTCATGGAGCTTAAATTTTAAGGCAGGGTGGGCTCAGAGGTGAGAGAAGAATGACAATGACAAACACATATCAAATGATGATAATAACATGAAGAGAAATAGAGTAAGGGGGTAGATAGCAATGGGGGTTATTGCTTTTATAGATGGCCCCCAACTGACGATGCTTCCACTTGTGATTTTTTTTACTTCAGGATGGAGTGAAAGCAATATGCATTCAGTAGAAACTGTACTTTGAATTTTGGATTTGGAATTGTCCTGGGCTAGTGATCTGCTGTACAATTTTCTCTCATGATGCTGGGCAGTGGCAGGGGGCCAGAGCTCCCAGGCAGCCACACGATCATGAGGGTGAACAATCCATTCACCGACAATCATTCTGTACTCACACAACTATCCTGTTTTTCACTTTCAGTATTTAATAAATTACATGAGATATTCAACCCTTTATTATAAAGTAGGCTTGTGTTAGATGATGTGGCCCAACTGTAGGCTAATGCAAGAGGAGCAGCATGGGCAGAGGCAGGAAGATGTGGAAAAGCAGCTATTCTGGAAGCTGGAAGCACCCCATGGGGCTGGAGCACAAGAGCTTGTTTCAGACCAGGGTGCCAAGGCTGGAGTGGCAGACAATGCCTTGTCATGGAAGAAGGAGGATCTCATGCCATCCTCAGGGCTCTGGGTGCCATGCAGAGCCAAAGAGGAGATTTAGGCAGTGACCCAACACAATCTGCTTTGATGTGGGAGAACGATCACTTGGGTGGCGGAATAGAGTGGTTACGAGGCAAAGGTGAGAGACCACAGGGCCCCTGCTCTGAAAGCAGGAGTGTGCTTATTGACAGCATCAATATTGTCCTACTTCATAGTGTCTACACTCTTACAGACTTGTCTCTCCTCCTATTGAGCTTTTATTTATTTATGTTTGTTTATTTTCCTATTGAGATTTTAAAAGGTATTGTTGAGTGTAATTAGATCTGCCTGAATTGCTCTGTGAAGATCTATGTCGTCATTGTCAATCCATTTCTATTTATTATAAAGATCTTTCAAAATAAGCATGGATGTTGCTAGATTTTACTGTAATTGCCTTTGAAAATACACAACCCCATCGCATACTTACCATCTTGTTTGAGTGCTTGTGTCCTTGACTTTGGGGACTACTTGCATGCCAACATCTTTCTCAAGTTGCTTAAGGGCAAAATGTCTATCTGGGTAGGCTGTACATTCAATATAGGCATCTTTTACACTGGAAGCATTTTGGTCACTGAACTTAATTGGCGCTCCAAACTCACTTCGTTTTCGAGAAATCATATATGTAATCTGCAACACATGTGAGCAGTTAAAGTAATAGAATCAAGTCCATGGAAAAGTGGATGTTTGGTAGACAGTACTGGTGCTCTGCTCAGATCCTCTCAAATATTTCTTTCTTGCTTTCTTTCTCTCTCTCTCTCTTTCTCTCTCTCTCTCTCTTTCCTTCCTTCCTTCCTTCTTTCAAAGATTTATTTATTTGAGAGAGAGAGAATGAGAGAGAGCACAAACAGAGGCAGAGGGAGACACAGCCTCCCCGCTGAGCAGGGAGACAGATGCGGGGCTCTATCCCAGGACCCTGAGATCATGACCTGAGCCAAAGGCAGGTGCTTAATCAACTGAGCCACCCAGGCGGCCCTCAAATCTCTTTCTATACTTTACTATACTATACCTCCAGCTCTGTGTGCTTTCCATTTTCAGGGCCACCCCCTACTGCTCTTCTGCAGAGCACTGCTCTAGCTACCTGGGAGCACTTTGGTACAAAGGTAAAAAGAATAGGAAGTGACTGGCACTCACCAGTGTTGGACTGGTGGGAGACATGTGTAAGCCCATCTCCTTTGCTTCTCTTTGGGACAACACAGGTGTCATTTACACTCCAGAGTTCCCCTAGGGGTTCAAGCTAAAGCCTTTTCTCTACTGGCCTTTTGCCTGAGATTGCATCCTTGTAGGACTTCTGCTATGTCTCTGTCCTGCTGCTTTTCCTTTTCTTCTATGGTGCACTTTCATAATAAATCACTCACATACAAATCTTCTCAGGGGCTGCTCTTGGAATGCCACTGTGTCAGTTTCCTCTGGCTGCTGTAACCAACGGCCACAGCCTGGGTGGCTTAAAACAACAGGAATGAAGTCCGAGATCAAGGTGTTGAAGGTTTTGTTCCTTTTAAGGGCTCTCAGGGAGAATCCGTTCCTTGCCTCTCTCCTAGCTTCTGGCGACAGCCAGCAATCCTTGCTGTTCCCTGGCTTGTAGATCCATCACTCCTATTTCTGCTTCCTTCTTCACATGGTGTTCTCCCTATGTCTGTGTGTCTTTGCATGGCCATCTTTTTATAAGGACACCAGTCATATTGGATTAGTGACACCCATTTCCTAATAGGGTCACCTTCTGAGGTACTGGGTATTAGGACTTCAACATATCTCTTTTGGGGAATACAGTTCTACCCTTAATACCCAAATACCCCAAACAATGACCATTCTTCTATCAAAGGAAATACCACATCCCCATTGGCAAACATAGCAAACCTTACAGATCCCTCAAGAATCAGTGTTGTTCAGCAATATAGAGAGGTAAGCACGCTGAAGATCATATCCAAGCCTCTGACCTGCTTTGTAGATTCCTTAACCGATTCTTCCGCAATTTCTTTTTCACTGCCCAAAGAAACCCATGGTTTAGAGATAGGTGGCTTATAAATGTATACATCTTCTGGAATATGCTCTTTATATTCTTCCTGTTCTTCTGGTACTTCTGGGGACTAGAGTAAAATAAATAGCACTCTAAAATATATGACCAAAAGTAAGTTATAGCTGCATGTGAGTATTTTGCCATAAACTTTATGTTTGTATAAATTAAGCACTTCCTATTTTCTCTATTCTTGGTTCATGTTTTTCAATTAGGAGAAGGAAACTAAGCAAAAGGAAAAAAAAAAGCCCATTTAATTTTTACAACAGCCCCGGAAGTAGATACTATTGGTACCACCATTTTGCAGACAAGTGGTTCAGTAACTTACCCAAAGTCATGGAGATGGCAAGAGGAGACCCAGGAGTGTGGGACAAAGAGTGGCCAAGAGCAATACTACTCCCAATTTATTGTTTCTACTCTCAGTAGGACAATAAAAGGCAAATAAGTAGAGTATCTGTTACCCTGAGGTGTTTGATTTAGCTCATCTCTTACCTACTCTAAGTGCTAGAACGTGGTCTAGGTCCCAGGGAAAGAGAACTGAACATGAATAATCAAAACCAGGTATAGGTCTCCCCCAGTGGTATTCCCTCCCTCCGACAATCAACAAAATGCAAGGACTTGGCATCTGCTTACGTTTAAATAGTTTTTTTTGCCCTCTTCAGTTCCAATAAGATAAAAGTTAACTCCATATTTGAAGTCTTTGTCATAAACAACCAGAAGCTCATCTCCAGGATATTCCTATAGGAATATAATCAAAAGAGAAGGTCAGTTTTCATTCAGTTTATTCAGATACAAAATTGATATTTTTCTAATCAATCATAAAAGATAACCACCATAGTGCTAATCTATGGCTCATAATCCCAGATTGTAAAATTATCCTATTAACAAAGCTCTTAAAACTCAGTAGGTCTAGGGAAATTTACTACACAATTTTATTTCTAACAGGAAAAAAAGAAACATTCCTTTTATTTGGTGTTGGCGCTCAGTAGCATGTTTGGAGACAAATCAGAGACAAATCAGACCAAAATTATGAATTAAAAAATTAAAGGATTATGGGAAAATAAGAGTAGATTCCTATTCTAATTGAAAGTGGGCAAGGATAAGCTTTTCTGGGTGTGAAGTAAGAATCAGTCACTGATAGGTGACTTCTTACAGAGGATTATCAAGCAGGATTCCAAAGGAGGTGTGGGCAAGCTAGCATTTGTCCAACGTAACTGGGGCGGGGGGAATGCCACAGATTTGAACTCAACAATCTCTCTGCCTTTTGTTATCATGTACCCGAAACCTCTTGAGGCAGGACTAGAAAATAAAGAGGGATGTTATACTTATCTGGATAACTTTTTTGACTGGATAGAAATCAGATACTGCAGCTCTGTTCTGAAAGTCTGCAAAAATATCTTCTTTTTTGATAAGTTTATAAGGTTGTTCATCTGTGATATCTTCGTCTATTCGGCAGTTAAATATTTCCTGGGTCTGGGTAGTTAATACTAAAGGATAAATTTCTGGATGACCTGGGGGAGGCAAAGTAGAATTTGGACATTAAATAAAAACCACTTAAAATATTAAGAGGAAAGAGGCAATTGTTTGCTTTAAATAATTCTTAGTTAAAATTTTAAAAGGCTTTAAAAATCATTGGTCTTATTTTTTAAGTAAGTATATCCATTACAGAAAATGTCAGAAAAAGATAAAAGGAAGAAAATGACAATTATCTATAATACTACCTCTCAAGAGAGAGCCTCTATTAAGAGTGTGCTCTATTTCCTCTATCGCAACCTGTCTTCTCATTTTCTTCTCGTTTTTATCACCACCAGCTTCCACAGTCCCAGTCTCAGCTCTGCATCTACTACCAAAACTTCCTCCCCCAACTCTCCCTCCCAAGGTCCCGGAGTCCACTCTCTTCTTCTCCAGACCCTATACGCCTAGACGTCCTGACATCTTTTCTCTTACTGCTCAGCAGATGTGCTAGCAAGTGGAGAAGTGCATGTGGCCTCTCAGAGTGGAATTTGGGGCTTATTTTCCTACAGAAATATTTACCCCCCCCCCAGTGGCTCTATGACACAATTATTCAGGTAATTTGAGGGCAGGGTTAATGACCATACCCATAACGCTGAGTATATGTAGAAATATATTCCAAATTGTAGTCAGTTGGCAAAATAAACATTTGGAATGCAAGTTGTTCATAAATTAGGGACAAACTGCCATTTTTCTCTCCTTGGGAGTTGGAAATGGGGTTGCTGAGATCCAAACTAAGGTGTCTGCACTCTTACTACCATGCTATACTTTCTCTCATGTGTGGACACAGCAGAGCACAGGAGAGGGTCCTGCTCCTTCCTCACACGTGGTCAGGAGGTGACAGATTACACTCCACAGGATGCAGTCAATGGCAGTTACTGACCTAGTAGCTGATAGAGTAGGAGCCAAAGACAGACTCAAGCTCTACATAACTCACTCCTCACAATCTTACTGTGTGTACAAGGAAGAGTCCCGTGCCCTACAGACCAGAGCCCTCAATATACATCAATTGCCCTGCATTTTTTAAAATAATTTTTTAGAAGATTTTATTTATTTATTTGACGGAGAGAGAGAGCGAGAGAGCGCAAGCACTAGCAAGGGGAAGCGGCAGGCAGAGGGAGAGGGAGAAGCAGGCTCCCCGCGGAGCAGGGAGCCCTGATGCGGGGCTCGATCCCAGGACTCCGGGATCATGACCTGAGCCTAAGGCAGACGTTTAACCGACTGAGCCACCCAGGTGCCCTGATTGCCCTGCATTTTGAAACAGAGCTAATTTAAATAACTCTTATGTATTTCATCTGTACCATTTTTTTTTTTTACATTTTGGTTGCTATTTCCTTTTTAAAAGCAGTTTTATTGAGATATAATTGGCAAACAATAAACTGTATATATTTAAAGTGTACAATTTAATAAACATATGCATATACCCATGAAGCCATGACCACAATTGAAGTAAAGAACACACCCATAATCCCCCAAAATTTCCTCCTGTCCCCTCCTCCCTGAACCCCTCCCGCACCTCTAGGCAACCACTGATCTGCTTTCTATTACTATAGCTTAGTTCACCTGTTATGGACTATTTATAAATGCAATTACACAGTTTGTATTCTTTCTGTTTGTTTGTCTTCTTTTACTCAGCATAATTATTTTGAGATTCATTCATGTTGTTGCATGTAACAAATGGTTCATTCCTTTACATTTCTGACTGGTATTCCATAAAAGAAAAGATCAATTAGGCAAAGATTTCTTAAGATTTATGACTTTGGGTATTGTATCTAGGAAATCTTTGCCTAATCCAAGGTCAAAAAGATTTTTTCCTATGTTTTCTTCCAGAAGTTTTATAATAGTTGGTTTTATATTAAGGTTTATGATCATTTTGAGTTAATTTCTGTATATGATGTGAAGTATAGATTGAAATTCTTTTTTTTTTTGCATATAGATATAAAATTGTTCCAGCATCATTTGTTGAAAAGACTGTCCTTTCTCCACTGAACTGGCTTTGTGCTTTTTTGAAAATCCATTGACCATATATATGTCAGCCTACTTTGGGATTCTTCATTCTCACTCATTGGTCTATGTCTTTATAATATCTTTTAAAAATAGTAACAACAGTTAGCGTGAACCGTCTTTGTGATGGCTCCACATAAGGAAGTGTGTGTGTACTAACTAACTTAACCTGCAATAATCTCATAAGGTAGTCTCTCAACCTTGTTTTTCAGACAAGGAAGCAGAGGCTCAGAGAGGTGAAGTCATTTGTGACCACACTGTCATTAAGTGTCATTAAGTGTCAATAATTATGAATTGAGCCAGGTCTAATTCCCAAGCCTGTGCTACTAATCACTTGTGGTAAACAGAATAGAGTCCCCCTGAACGTGTCCATGTCCTAATCCCTGAAACCTGTGAATAAGTTACCTTATATGACAAAAGAGACTTGCAGATGTGACAAAGTTAGGGAAGCTGAGATGGGGAGATCATTGGGCCCCTGAGCAGGGCCCAAGCTAACCACAATGGTCCTTGTAAGAGGAAGGCAGGAGGGCCAAAGTCAAGGAAGGAGATGTGACAAAGCGGCAGAGGTCAAAGAGAGAAAGATTAGAAAATACTACACTGCTGGCCTTGAAAATAGAGGAAAGTGCCAAGAGTCCATGAATGCAGAGAGCCTTTAGCTGAAAAGGTAAGGAAGTGGACCCTCCCCTCAAAGCCTCCAGAAGGAACCAGCCCTGTTAATACCTTGACTTTGACCCAATGAAAGTAATGTCAGACTCCTGGTTTCCAAAATTGCAAGATAATAAGCCATTTAATTTTTAAGTGTTTTAAGCCACGAAGTTTGTGGTAATTTGCAGCAATAGTCAATTAATACACCATGGATACTCTAACCTGTATTAAAGCATGACTTAGAATTTGGGTAAATTATTTAATTTTGAGAGTCACAGCATCTCCATCTATGTCATGGCCATAATAATGCCTCCTTCACAGAGATAAACTGATGAGAGGAGCATGCCTGGCACAAAGGTGTTGCTCCATATATGTTAGCTAAATGTAAAAATTACATCTATTTTCTAGAAACCTCTAGACATTGCCCTTTAGACCCTTAGGCAACAGTTTTTTAGTTAGTTTGTCATTCCCTTGGTTCTTGGAAGGAAAGGGAATCCCAATTCCTTGGGGCATGAGCCACAAGCCCTGAGTGACAATTGACAATGTCAGGACCCCACAGCAAGGAAGTCAGAGGGGTCCTAATGTTGCCCTGGAAGGTCTGGGGGGTAGAGGAGAGATGTTCTAGTATAAAGTAAATCAACACCTACTTTCAAGTCTCACTACAACATACTGAGGTTTTGGGGGTTTTTTCTCCTTAAATAAATAGACATCTATTTTTCATCCCATTTACTTTCTGCAGAAATATCTCCATCAGGCCCCATTCTCAGGTTCATGGATTTTCTTGCCAGTCAACACATTTAGTCAAGACATATTTATTGAGCAACTACTATGTAAAATCATGGTGTTGGTACTAGGGTTAGATTATCTAGAGGGGGAGACAGACATTAAACAGACAAATACACTCAGAAATACAGAAGTACAAATCATCACAAGCGCTATTTGGAGAAAACAGGGTGAAAGGTAGAACTTAGAACTAAGGAGAGTGGGAGTGGCTGTGGTCTCTTTAGATGAGAAGAAGAGGGAAAGCCATTTTTTCATTCATTTATTCAACAAATCAATCAACAAATATTTGCTGAGTGCTTATTATGTGTCAAGATCTCTTCTAGGCATTGGAGTACAGTGGTGTACAGGGAGTTTCTGTTCCCTGGGAGTACACGTGTGCATGTGCATGTGTGTGAGTGAGAGTGAGTGGGCACTACGACCAGCCAGGTATGTGTGAAAATAGATTATAAATGCATAAAGAAATAAATACAATCTTCATTATTCATGGATTTTGTATTTGCAGATTCACTTGCTAAAACTTATTTGTAACCCTGTGCTCGCTTTGGCAGCACATGTACGAAGATTGGGATGATACAGAGAAGATTAGCATGGCCCCCCGTGCAAGGGTGACACACAGACTTGTGAAGTATTCCATATTTAAAAAACAAAACAATACAAAAATGTGTAACCCCAACATCAGTAGTCACGGTGCTTTTACCATCATCAGTGGCCATGCTTACGGTGGCAAAAAGTCTGAGGTGCCCAATGTGCAGGTTCCCAGCTGAGGTCAAACAAGGTGATGCTCTCCATCTTGTATCAGCCCTCAAACCGTAAACGAGTGTCCTTCCCACTATTTAGTGCCATGTTTTTCACATTTTTGTACTTTTTCCGTTGGTGATTTTGCCGGTTAAAATGGCCCCCAAGCATAGTGCCGAAGTGCTGTCTAGCATTCCTAAATGCAAGAAGGCTGGGATGCGCCTTATGGAGAAAATATGGGTCTTAGAAAAGCATCATTTAGACATGAGTTATAGTGCCGTTGGCCATGAGTTCAATGTTAATGAATCAACAATATATATTAAATAAGGTGTCTTTAAACAGAAACACACATAAAACAAGTTTATGTATTGATTGGCTAATGAAAATGTTGTGACCAGAGGCTCAAAGGAACCTAACTCTGTATTTACCCTAGGAAAAATAGCTCAGTATTTGCTAAGTCAGTGTTTGCAGCAACTGTATAGAACTTCCAAGAAAAACAAGAATTGACTGTACTTTAATTTCAGAATTAGGGTAAGTGCTATGAAGGCAGTAAAATGGTACTAGGTGAAGGAGAGGTTAAGGAAGTCCTCTTGCAGAGGTGGGACTGGAGTCTAGATCTGAATGTTGAAAAAGAGATAGATACATAAAGATCTGGGGGAAGCTCTATCCAGGTATCAGGAGTAGCAAGAGCAAAGACCCTGAGGCAGGAATAACTTTGATGTGCTCTGTGTTAAGCAAGGCTGGTGAGCTCTAGGTTGGGGTGGGGGGTGGGTCGGGGGGAGAGGAGAGAGACAGAGACAGAGAGAGATAAAGAAAGGAAGGCAGAACCAGGACTGGTATAATGGCAAAGTAAAGCCATGAGAGAGTTTAAGCAGGAAAGACACATGACCAGGTGGTGTGCAGAATAGATTGAAGGAGAGTGAGTGGAAGCAGTGATATCAGTTGGGGGCTAAGGAACTAACCCAGATGAGAGGTGTGGAGGTCTGGACTAAGGTTGCAGATGTGGACATAAGGTGAAGTGGATGGGATATATTTTAGAGGTGGAATGGTTTCAGTGGGGATGGGGAGGTGTTAAAGGGAGATAGATGTGAAAGAGGACTTTCAAGTTTTTGAGTGGTATATTCATTAATTCAATAAAGTATTTGGTGGGCAGTGTGCCCTGTTCCGGTGCCATTTACTGTCAGCTGACATCCCCCTGCCATCTCCACTATCCCTCTACCACCCTGGCCCAAGCCACCACCTTCTCTTTCCTAGGTTCCTGCAGTAGCTTTCTGCCTGGTCTCTGCTTCTGTCCCTGAAGTTCTCAGCTAGGTAGCCAGGGTGACACTTTCAAAACAAGTCAGATCCCATCACTCCTCTGCTTAAATACCTCTTGAGTCACCTCCATCCTACATGACTCAAAATCAGAGCCCTTACAACAGCCTACAAGGCTTTTAGATCTTCCTCCTCCCCAACCCTCACTGTTTCCTCTCTGTCTCTAAACATGAAGGGCATCACCTAAGTCCAATCTAAGAGGAAAGTTTCAACAACAACCAAAACAAAAGATCCTATTGGCATAAGAGTATTTAGCCTCTAAAAGTAGGAGCAACATTAACTTGGTTGTCTAAGTTCTAGTTTATTTGCTTAAAAATTAGCCTCTTTACTTGAAATACTTGAATCTTACCATGAGGTACAGATAAATATTGCTCACAAGCCAGAGTCTTAAAAATATTATTCTAATGAAAGTAATAACTTGCAGACTAACAACACTTTCTAGTCTCTTCCATAACCATACCCTGTTAGATTTGTGAGAGACTGCTTGGTTCAAGTCTATTTCTCAGTTTGAAATTCTCTCTTCCACTCTTTTTATTCTTTTTTCAAAATTTTTCACTTTATATTCTAAGTGATATAATGTAATTTTAGCCCATGTACATCTTGATCAATCACTTCAATTTGTATTTTTGTTTGCTCATTGCATATTAAAATATTATAAAACTGGGGTCATAAATTCTAAATTATATTTCCACTTACCCATTCTCTCCATATTTATAGGTTCTGTTTCTTCCCTATCTAGAATATAATAAAATGATGTCACATTTACATTTTTGAATCAAATAAACATTATAGTTTATTACAGTCTTTTACCAGCCTCAAAGCACAAAACATAAACAAATATACAATGAAGATTTAAACTATTTTATGCATGATTAAATGGAATTTAAATAATTATCTTTTTTCACAGAATTATCTCTTAGTGATACATTTGCTATGGCATTCATTATATGACATTTAACAGGTATTATAATGAAATGAATAAAAAATAATAAATCTCCATACTTTAAATTCCATTTGTGGTTGACTTTATGACAACAAAACTATTTCATTATTTGATACATTAAACCACAGCCATTTTGGTGGCTAATATATATACAAATACTAGATCCATAAAAATCCCATTAATGAGAAAACAGTCCTACCAGGTAACGTTTGTTTGGTTTTGCCCCATTTTGGTTTTTTTCGGCCAGCTGAGCTCTTTTGTTTTTGAGATTTTGGAGCCATGGTTCTGACTTAGGCTGCATAAAGAGAGAATATCATTAGTAAATTCTGTGTTACAGGTTCAAATAATAAGCATTATCATTTAGCAAAACATAAGAATATGTTTTCTAAGCCTTGCCTTTGGTTACGGTGACATGTGTCTTCATAGAATGGGTGTTCTGTGACCAAAGGTTTATCACAACAACAATCTTACTGATAAGATCTTACCATTTTGGTGGAGCCTTTCAGCTGAAGCACACAGAAGCCACCTGCCAACCCTTCGAGGTTTCAGCCATAGGGTCCGCCGTGGAAGCAGGAATAGAGGACACTGGATCCCCAGCCTCTTGGGGCTGTTCCCATCCCAGGGAGTTGCTGTCTGCTGCCCCATGCCCAGCTCCCCAGCAGCTGCCCCAGCAACAAAGACAGGCTGGACGTCCACAGGCAGGCACAGGCCCAGAACATGCATATATATACATAATTTTTAAAGTTAACATAATTTACATAGTACTTGTGTCCATGTACATGTGTACATGTAACCACTGTGTCCTTATTTGTGCTGTCAGAGAGTGCCTCCGGAAGTTTTCTGTGGAACTGTTCATCAGTTTTGGCTGAGGTCATTTGCTATCACATCGAGTCCTTGTCATCTCCATGGTCACCCCTGTCTCATCTTGTTAGAGGGTTAGGAGTGTGATTTCAGGCATCTGAGCAGCAAGGTTGAAAAATAGACTCTGCCTTTTACCAGCTGAGTGATGCTTGGCAAATTATATACCTTTGGAGTCTCAGTTTATTCATGTTTAAAGGGGATGATAATAATCAAACCTATCTCACAAGATGGTTGTGATGATTTAATGAAATAAAGTATCGTCCTCAACTCAGTCATGACAGACTGGTTGCTTCATTTTTTTAAAACGATTTATTTATTTGAGAGAGAGAAAGCATGAGGGTAGGGGCAGAGGGAGAGGGAGAGACAATCTCAAGCAGACTCTGCACTGAGTATAGAGCCTGATGTGGGGCTCGATCTCACCACCCTGAGATCACGACCTGAGCTGAAACCAAGAGTCAGATGCTCAAACGATTGTGCCACCCAGGTGCCCCTGGTTGCCTCATTTTAATAACCCAATATAGATTGAAAATTATTTCATAGTCCACAGTCAGAATATCCTGACTTTCATTTTATGCTTCATCCCTTGATTACTAAATCTGGACCAAAGTGTGTGGGGGATGTGTTTGTGATCTACATTTTTTACATGTGTTTTTTCCAAAGGTAATAATGATAGCTCATGTTTGTTGAGTGTTTACTATGTGCCAGACACAGTCCTAAGTACTTCACATGTATTTTTTATTTAATTTGAGCTACCCTTTTAGATAAGCATTTTGTGAATATTTTTATCCTCATCCTCATTTTATATGGTGAAAACAGAGGCCAGGAAACTTGCATGAGGGGATACACAAAGTGTGAGTAGAGTTAGGGTGTGAGCCCACCCAGTCTGGCCCCAATGCTCACACTTGTAATCTTTGTACAAGACTGTCCCTTGGCTTTCAGTGGTAACTGTTCACTGTGTTTCATTACAAATGAAATTATTTAAAATCATTGTCTTTACCTAGAAAGGTAGGATTTTACTGAGGCACCAGAGGCTGTCCTAGCTGTTAGGAATACAGCAGTGAAAAAAATAGGCAAAACCCTTGCCCTGCTAAAGCTTACATTCTAGAGGGGAGACAGTTCTGGGGCAGGAATATGCTTGGCACATTTAAGAGAACAGCAGGAATGTCATGATGGCTGGAGCAGAGTGAATAAGGGGACTAGGGGATGAAGTTGGTCAGAGAGCTGATGAGGGTATATATTAGTCAGCTCTGCTAGGGTAATAAATGTCCTGCAAATCTCAGTAACATACAACAATGAATGTTTATTTCTTCTAATGTTTTGTACTGTGATTATGAGTGGGCCGCTGCTTCAGGCCTTATTCTGGGACTCAGCCTGGAGAAGCAGCCCCTTTTTGACAGCCCCCACTTCCGTGGTGGAGTAAAAAGTGAGAGAGCTACCAGAACTGTGTAATGCCTCCTCCATCTTCTCCGTGGCTCGGGCATACTGTCCTTTCTGCTTATATTCCACAGGCCCAAGCAAGTCACATGGCCAGTCCCGCTAATGGGGGAGGAACGTCTTCTTCCTTGGCAGTGGGTGGGAACGTATGATCCTTGTGCAGGGAAGGGAGGTAAGAGTTGGGAATAAAATCATTGCGGACGAGTATATAATATGCCACAAGGGGGCAAGGTCATGTGTAAGGACGTGGGCTCTTACTCTGAAGGAGGGGGGAGCCATTGGATGGTTTTGAGCTGAGGAGTTACTTGACTTGATCTGACTCCCTATGGCCAGTGTAGTGAAGACTGCAGTGAGGAAAGAGCTGAAGCAGGGAATCCAGCTGGGAGACATTCGGTAGTCCAAGGGGGAGGTGAGTGTGGAACGGAAAAAGTGGTTGGATTCTGCATATGCTGTGTAAGCCAAGGTGATAGGATTTGCTGATGACTTGGATGTAGGGTCTGACAGAAAAAACAGGACCAAGGAGGACTTCAACAGGTTTTACCTAAGGACTTGAAAGCATGGGGTTGCTATTTATTGAGATGGGGATCCCAGGGAAAGAGCAGACTTGAAAGGGAAAGTCAAAAATTCAATTGAAGGCGTGTGAAGTTAGACTGTACAGTAGGCAGCAAACTCCAGAACTGGCACAGTGTACATGCTAAAAAAAAAAAATGAATTAATGACTCCTTGGTGTCCCCTTTCCTTCTGCCATTCTTAGCTTATACATTTCCAGTCTGAACAAAAGTCTTTTGCTTAAGGTCTGTGGAATCACCTGCAGGCATGCTGTTTTCATTTTCTATTGCTGCTCCAACAAATTACCAGAAATTCAGTGTCTCAACACAAATTCATTCTCTAATGGTTCTGTAGTTCAGAAGTCTGACATGGCTCTCACTGGGCTAAAAACCAAGCTGTCAGCAAGGTGTCAACAAGGCTGTGTTCCATTCTTTCTAGAGTTCTAAGGGAGAATCTGTTTCCTTGCCTTTTCGTACTCGAGGCCACCAACATTTCTTGGCTTGTGGGCCCTCTTCCTCCATCTTCAAACAACCCAACAACAGTGGGTTAGATCTTTCTCACAGAATATACTCTGACCTTCTCTTATTTCCACTTCCACTTTTTAAGGACCCTTGAGATTACACTGGGGCCCACCGAGATAATATAGGATACACTCCCTATTTTATTTATGGTCAGCTGATTAGCAATTTTAATTTCATCTGCAACTTTAATTCCTGTTTGCTATATATGTTAACATATTCACAGTTTCCAAAGATTAGGAGGTGCTACATTGGTGTTCAGTTTGAATATATAGGTATCAATCTAACACAATCACCCCAAGAAATAGTCAAAGTAATCACATGTGCCCAGTTCTTTTCAAAGGCTGCTATAAAATGACTTGTGGGTAATCTGGTTCCATTTCCAAAATTCAGGGGAAAACAAAGTCCATTTTCCACCAGTACTTTGGAAAACAAAATTGGAATAAACATTAAATGTATGCTTCCTTATCAGAATAGCTCACTTACTATTTCCACAAATATTAATCCCTGTGTCTAAAATGTTGACTAGTGACCGAGGAAAAAGGAAGACCATGTTGTTCTACAGGCTTTTAGAGGTCCGAATTATTCTTAATTAAAAGCACAGTATTTAAGTTGCTAGGCATCACAGATGTAAAAACTCATTAGCTGAGGTCAGCCTGGTGAATATAGTCTAAACTGAAAAGAAAATGATTACTTTGGGAGTAGCTACTTTACATTGTATTTGTGTTTCAGGCAAAATTTCATAGTTTATTTTAGTACCTTCAAATAATAGAAACCCTACCAATATCCTGTGTCTAGAAAATAAATCACTTTTAATTGAAGATATCTAGATCAAATGAATAATGTACTCTATGGAATTTCAATAAACCCACTTATTTATTCACCGTTTATTTTTTATGCTGATTTTCTTTGAAAAAGCAAATCCCAAATGAAAGATGTTGCTTTAAAATTACAGGTCTTAATAAGATTTTTTTTCATAAAATCAATTGCATATTTCATGCTGTGAATGTGCTATATTTTCCAAATCTTTTCCCTACTAAAAGGTCATACGAATTTTTCAGTACAGATATCATTTTATTCATTTATTTATTTTATTTTTAAAGATTTATTTGAGAGAGAGAGTGTGGGGGTGGGGAGGAGAGGTGCAGAGGGGGAGAATCCCAAGTAGGCTCTGTGCCCAGCATGGAGCCGGACACGGGGCTTAGTCCCACCACCCTGAGATCATGACTGGAGCTGAAATCAAGAGGTGGATGCTTAACAGACTGAGCCACCCAGGCGCCCCCAGACATCACTTTATTAAGATGTCTCTGAAATACTCACATTTTTCCTGTTCTCAACTCTTACTATTAAGAGCAGAAGAGATGCTTCATCTATCCCTAGAAAAGGGTTAGCCTCCTCCAGTAGCTTGTATTACATTTGGTTTTCAAAGCCACTATAATTGATTGAATTTCAAAACAGAATGTGGGAACTATAATACTGATAAATATTTAAGCATTCCATTTAAATATTTTTGATATTAAAACCACTTATATTCTTTGTAAAATAATCCACCCATTCCAGAATATCTTTTTACTACCAGTGTACCAAAGGACCCATTTTTTACCTTCCTTGTTAGGAACAAAGGCATTAGGGAGTGATAAGAGAAGCAAGTGTTGAGTAGGTCCTCCATGTAACAGTTCAAAACCTGTGATGGCACGCCACTGATTCTGAGGACACTGCATTCAGAGCTGTCTCTGACCTGGTTCCAAACTAACTTCCAAGACTTGTTCATGACTGTATCTTTTTATGATGCTTCTATTATTCAGGAGGGTAACTACTACAGGTGAAGGGATAGTGACCAGTGATAACTGACATAATGCAGCGATTTAAACGGTTATTAAGCTCCCTCTCTTCACTCTATTCCACTGTAATCCACGACACCTGTTTACACATTCTCATTTGTTTCCTGTGTGGATGTGTGGCTTACACCCAGCCATGAGATTTTTAATTCTGAGAAGACCTGTGGCACTGGCGCCTTCCCTTCACCTAGGGTCTTCCTTAGAAAGTATTCTCCAGTGTACTTCAATTAGCTGACCTTGTCTGGGTGGTCAGAATCCTCTTTTCTCTTCCTGAAGTATTTGTAAGCTCATCATGCTTGTGTCCCATTTTTTTAAAAAAGAGATTTAGAAAAAGATCCAGGACTAACATCTTGGGAGTCTGGTAGATGTGTCTCCAAGAACTGCTGCTTCCTGGTCGATCTCCACCAAGACCCTGACTAAGCTTTAAGATTCTCCTAGGTGCTTCAGCCTTCTTCCGACAAGTTCACAGCATCCACCCTCCAGAGATGAACTGTTTCCACAGTGCTTCCCATTAGTCTACTAC